TCCCGGAGTCCACCCAAACCCATATCCTTTGAGTCGGTGATGCCATCCAGCTATCTCATCCTCTGTCATCCCCTTCTCCTCCCGCCCTCAATCTTTCCCAGCATCAGGGTCATTTCAAATGACTCATTTCTTCACATCAGGTGGCCAAAGTATTGGAGTTTCAGCTTCAATATCAGTCCTTCCAATGAACACCCAGGACTGCTCTCCTTTAGGATGGACTGGTTGGATCTCCTTGCAGTTCATGGGACTCTCAAGAGTCTTCTCCAGGGAGGTGGGAGGGAGGATCGGGATGGGGAATAAAAAAAAAAGAGTCTTCTCCAACACCACAGTTCAAAAGCATCAATTCTTCGGCACTCAACTTTCTTTATAATCCAACAATCCATACATGACCATTGGAAAAACCATAGCCTTGACTAGACGGATGCTTGTTGGCAAAGTAATGTCTCTGCTTTTTAATATGCTGTCTAGGTTGGTCATAACTTTCCTTCTAAGGAGTAAGTGTCTTTTAATTTCATGGCTGCAATCACCATCTGCAGTGATTTTGGAGCCCAAAAAAATAAACTCAGCCACTGATTACCCAACTATTTTCCATGAAGTGATGGGACCAGTTGCCATGATCTTAGTTTTCTGAATGTTGAGCTTTAAGCCAACTTTTTCACTCCCCTCTTTCACTTTCATCAAGAGGCTCTTTAGTTCTTCACTTTCTGCCATAAGGGTGGTGTCATCTGCATATCTGAGTTTATTGATATTTCTTCCGGCAGTCTTGATTCCAGCTTGTGCTTCATCCAGCCCAGTGTTTCTCATGATGTACTCTGCACATTAGTTAAATAAGCAGGGTGACAATATACAGCCTTGATGTACTCCTTTCCCTATTTGGAGCCAGTCTGTTGTTCCATGTCCAGTTCTAACTGTTGTTTCCTGACCTGCATACAGGTTTCTCAAGAGGCAGGTCAGGTGGTCTGGTATTCCCGTCTCTTTCAGAATTTTCCTCAGTTTGTGGTGATCTACACAGTAAGAGGCTTTGGCATAGTCAATAAAGCAGAAATAAATGTTTTTTCTGGAACTCTGTTGCTTTTTCGATGAGTCAGCAGGTGTTGGCAATTTGATCTCTGGTTCCTCTGCCTTTTCTAAAACCAGCTTGAACATCTGGAAGTTCACAGTTTACGTATTGTTGAAGCCTGGCTTGGAGAATTTTGAGCATTACTTTACCAGCGTTGAGATGAGTGCAATTGTGAGGTAGTTTGAGCATTCTTTGGCATTGCCTTTCTTTGAAATTGGGATGAAAACTGACCTTTTCCAGTCCCGTGGCCACTGCTGAGTTTTCCAGATTTGCTGACATATTGAGTGCAGCACTTTCATAGCATCATCTTTTAGTTTTAGAGGTAGGAATCTAATTTTATGTGTATATATATAAACACTCATGCATATGATTTTTAAATGTGTATATATAGTATATGTTATATGCAGTATAATTTCTATTCGATAATTATATAATTAGTGATATATACAGACATACAGATACACACAGATAGATATATATTTATGTTGTTAACTGAATTTTCCATTAACATTTATTGGATGCATCTCTGTTTCCCCATGGATTAGTAATGCTGTTTTTTGCATATGAGAAGTTATATTTGCTGAATATTTGTGAACTCTGTTCCATTCGTCTGTTTTAGCTTCTCTGGATACCACACTTGTTTTATTTGCTATAATTTTATTAATCTTAAGTCTTGTAGTATGAGTCCTATTTATTTACGTTTGTAAAAATGTTTTTATTCTGTTTCATTACTCTTTTATTTGAAATTTAGTATCAGCTTATTTTATTCAAGGAAAAACCTTATTGACTTTTGATTAGATATACATTGAATTTATAAATTAATTTCAGGAGAATTTCTATCTTTATAGTATGAAGATTGGATCTTGGTTGAAAGGTTGGTCTCTGGATTCTAATTCCCTGTCACTTATCAGCACAGTGATCTTGTTTAAACTCTGCCTCAGTTTTCTCATTGGTGAAATGTAGAAAATGATTCCCTGTAAAAAATGAAAGGATTAAATGAGTTAATATGCATAAAACCCTTGGAGTTTAGCAAATTCCAAGTAAATATTAGATACTTTTACTCGTTTTGTATCTCTCCATTCATTTGGGTCTTATTTTATGCCCTTCAGAAAAGCTTTATAACATTCTTCATAAAACCCTTGTTGTTCAATTGTTATGTCATGTCCAGCTCTTTGCAGCCTCATGGCCTACAGCATACCAGGCTTCCCTGTCCTTCACTTTCTCCCACAGTTTGCTCAAATTCATGTCCAGTGAGTCTGTGATTCTATCCAAACGTCTCATCCTCTGTTGCCCATATTCTTCATGATCCTCTTACGCATCTTTTTTTTTCATTTATTCCTAAATATCTTAGTTTTTGTTGCTACTGTGAATGGAATTTTCTCTAGTTTACATTACTAAATTTGATGTGTCCAGGAGTCTTCCTGAACTCTTTTGTTAGATTCTCAGTTTAAGATTTTCTTGGATTTTTCATTTAGATGTTAAATTGTCTCCAAGTATTGACAGTTTTGTCTTTTCCAGTCCTTTTTTCCCTCTTTGTATTATATAAGAAATGTAATACATCTTTGAATAAAGCAATGATAATTGGTCTTCTTCATCTTGCCTTGGCTTTAAAGAGAATTCTGAAATTTCACGATTAAGTATGTTGTTTACTTAAGGTTTTTGATACCATTTATCACGTTAAGGAATTTACCTTCTATTCCTAATTTCTTGAGAGCTGTCCTGAATTCATACTGAACTATTCAGTTCACTTCTGTTCAGTCGCTCAGTTATGTCGGACTCTGCAACCCCATGGACTGCAGCACACCAGGCCTCCCTGTCCATCACCAGCTCCAGGAGTTTACTCAAGCTCATGTCCATTAAGTCAGTGCTGCCATCCAACCATCTCATCCTCTGCCGTCCCCTTCTCCTCCCGCCTTCAGTCTTTCCAGNCATATAAGTTAAATAAGCAGGGTGACAATATACAGCCTTGATGTACTCCTTTTCCTATTTGGAACCAGTCTGTTGTTCCATGTTCAGTTCTAACTGTTGCTTCCTGACCTGCATATAGGTTTCTCAAGAGGTGGGTCAGGTGGCCTGGTGTGACCATCTGTTTCAGAATTTTCCACAGTTTTTTGTGATTCACACAGTCAGAGGCTTTGGCATAGTCAATAAAGCAGAAATAGGTGTTTTTCTGGAACTCTCTTGCTTTTTCGATGTTCCAGCAGATGTTGGCAGGTTGATCTCTGGTTCCTCTGCCTTTTCTAAAACCAGCTTGAACATCTGGAAGTTCACAGTTTACGTATTACTGAAGCCTGGCTTGGAGAATTTTCAGCATTACTTTACTAGTGTGTAAGATGAGTGCGATTATTTACCTTAAGTTCACTATTTTCAGAATTGTGATAAAGAATTAGCATAGTTGTAGTGGTACAACGGAGGGACTGAGGGAGGAAGTTTTCTTTTTTGGTGAGCACATCTGTTTTGAGCTTTTCCAAAAAACAGCAACAATAATGATTCCTACTATGGCAATAAAATCATAAGGACATTGTATTTAAACAAAACTATATATGATTCAAGGGTAAGTTTTGTATGTAAGTTTTTTAGCTGTATATACTTAAAGCTATTCATTATAATACTTTAATTATCTATTGAAGTATATACATGCTCAAAAATCTTTCATTGATGGGTACATAATCATGAAAAGTTTGCAAATCACTCCGTCTATTTTCTGACACTTTTTCCTCATTGAAACAATTACTCTTTCAATACAGTTTGTTATACCAATGTTACAATGTCAACTATGGAATTCTGGCAGATGATGATACAATATTGGCAGTACTTATTTTTAAAACATATATACTTGAAAACATTTCCCACATTTTTCACTTCCACATTGTTTGATCTGTAGTTACTGCTTTGTGTTCACTTGAAGATCTCAGTATGTGGGGGAAGCAATAACTCCTACCATCATTGTGATCTTTAGTGTTTGGAGTAATGTTTAGCTGAAGTATTTGGGAAAGCTAACTATGAAAGGTACTGCTGACCTGTAATAGGAATAACTTTAGGGAAGATTGTTCTTATTGTTTACATACTGGTGCTTCTTAAAAAAAATCATATGCTCTTTCTCTTTACAGGATGCCATACTTTATATAAACCCATTATACTGTACTGATATCTGAATTAATATAAAAGTTTAAATTCAGATATAATTTTCTTTTTGAAAGTTTTTGAGAACAGCTTTTATATACCAGTTTCACACTGTTATGTATCATTTGTTGTTCAGTTGCTCAGTCATGTCCAGGTCTTTGCTACTCTGTGAACTGCAGCATGCCAGGCTTCCCTGTCCTTCACTGTCTCCCTGAGTTTGCTCAAACTCATGTCCATTGAAATCCATGATACCATCTAACCATCTTATCCTCTGTTGTCCCCTTCTCCTTCTGCCTTCAACGTTTCCCAGCATCAAGATCTTTTCCAGTGAGTTGGCTCTTCGCATCAGGTGGCCACAGTATTGGAGCTTCAGTTTCAGCATTAGTCCTTCCAGTGAATATTCAGGACTGATCTCCTTTAGGATGGACTGGTTGGATCTCCTTGCAGTCCAAGGGACTCTCAAGTCTTCTCTAACACCACAGTTCAGAAGCATCAGTTCTTCAGCCCTCACCTTTCTTTATGGTCCAAGTAGATACATAACTTGCATTTGTACAGTTTTCCTAAATTTAGGGATCTGTTTTATAAAGTTAGATATGTTAAAAAGTTGAACTGATGCACTGATGTCCTCAGTATATGAATATGTATATGTATATGTATCTAATTCTCACATAAGAATGACTTGGCATAGAAAAAAAGAATGATTTGATATAATCCTACTTTTAAATGGTAACCATAGAGTGGTTAATGTTAAATTAATATTAAAAACTAATGTTTTTTAATAAAAATAGATCTAATTTGGTTACTTATTTTATTTTAGCGAAGAATAACCAGAATTCAACAAATAGAAAAGGACATACTTCGTATACGACAGCTTTTACAGTCCCAAGCAACCGAAGCAGAGGTTAGTGAATTGTCTCTTTTGTTTGCAGTTATAATGATAGGTGGTTGTTCTAAGGAAAAATTAGCATGGCGTCATTGAAATAGATGCTCTAGAGAATTGAGACACTTGATAAGCTTTTTCATTAAATTAAGTATAGATTTCAAAAATCTATACTAGTATGATTTCTTCATAACTTTTATGCAATTAAAGCTTATAGAGCCGTAAATAGATACCTTACTTCACTTATCTGTTTACATATAATTTGACTACTAACAGTTTGTAAATAAGCTATCTCCTTGTGTAATCCATAGTAAAAGTTGATCATATACATTTATCTGTGCTTACTTTACAAACTTCATTAAAATGACAGTAAAAGGGTAAAATGAAAAAGCACAAATACCAGGGAAGGTGACAACTAATAAAATTTGGAGAACTGCAAAGCAGATAAGCAAATCATTCTTCTAGATTATGGTAGAGAGCTGACCCCAGAGTGAGCAGTAGGAGGTCACAAAGCAACTCATTTTACACTGTGGAGTCCTGAACGTTTCCAGAGTTGGTTACACTAGGTACTTCTGGATATGAGGATTAAAAAGGGGGTTAAAACCATATTTGTCAGCTCTTCAGCTGAAATTTGGTTTTGATCACTACACAGAAGGATGGTATATAAAAAACCATCCCTTCAGCTATCTGTTTATAGCCACTGGATTTGGGCACTTGTCACTTTGTTTATGGGTAAATAAAAAGAAAACCTACATGGAACTTAAATGAACTATTGCTGAATAAGGAAAAATAGCATGTGGGAGGCTCAGAGAAAATAAAGTATTTCTTCTTAAGTCAACTACAGGATGACCAGTCTCTCTGCAATAAGAGCAAAAAGTGTTGAATAAAAGTCCACATTGAACAATACAGAGTTGTTGCTAGGAAAAATTGGCTCAGTATTTGGGGATATATCAATGCAAAGTTTCTAATTTGCAGCCAGATTGAGACTCACATTCCAGATTATACAAGAAAAAAGAAGAGAATGCAAAGAATGAAATATCAACCTAGTGCTTTATTCTAACTATAATTACTAAAAACATGATGAAGTGCTTGTTGATATTTTTAAATGTTTATGAGATACAAAATAGTATGTACACTTTGATCCCATTTTTTAATTTGCACAAACAAACAGTCTATCAGAAATAATATGAAAAGGCAGGTAACCATTGCTAATACCTCCTTGTTTTTTTAGTTTGGCCAGTTTTGTAATGTTTTTATAGTAACTGTGCAGCTTTTACAGTGAGAGAAGACTTTTGTATGCGACACAAATCTGGCGTGTCCTTTCGTCACCAGCGTGCTTCCCAAGTAGCTCGATGGTAAAGAATCACCTGCCAGCCCAGGAGACGCAGGTTCTGTCACTGGGTCGGCAAGATTCCCTGGAGAAGGAAATGGCAACCCACCCCAGTACTCTTCCCTAGGAAATCCAGTAGAAAGAGACACCTGGTGGACTACCGTCCATGGGGTTGCAAAAGAGTCAGACATGACTTGGCAAGTAAACCACAGCAACAGCACTTAGCGCCAGCCCTGAGAATCTGATCGGAAAATGAACAGTTCTGTTCGGAGGCAGAAACTTAGTGCAGGCCCATTTACACACAGAGAAGACACCTAATTCTAATGTCAAAAAGTATAATTTTGAAAACAGTGTCTTTTAAGACTCTGGTCATGCATGCCTTGCTTTTTTTTTTTAATTTTTAAAATATTTTATTTTATTTTTTTTTCCATTTATTTTTATTAGTTGGAGGCTAATTACTTTACATCATTACAGTAGTTTTTGTTATACATTGAAATGAATTAGCCATGGATTTACATGTATTCCCCATCCCGGTCCCCCCTCCCACCTCCCTCTCCACCCGATCCCTCTGGGTCTTCCCAGTGCACCAGGCCCGAGCACTTGTCTCATGCACCCAACCTGGGCTGGTGATCTGTTTCACCCTAGATAATATACATGTTTCGATGCTGTCCTCTTGAAACATCCCACCCTCGCCTTCTCCCAGAGTCCACAAGTCTGTTCTATACATCTGAATCTCTTTTTCTGTTTTGCATATAGGGTTATCATTACCATCTTTCTAAATTGCCTTGCTTTTTAAATATCTTAGAAGCTTTGGCTTCAGTACATTTGAATTTGAAATATGTAGAAACATGTACTTGCTAAGTAGTCAAGTTCAGTGTAATAGTCATATTGCTAAAAGTGGTTTAACCTGGATGTTTTAAGTCAGTATGAACCAAATATTTGTAATATACAGACTGTGTCCTTTTTGCAATATTAACTCTTCAGTACTGTTTTTTTTCTTTCCAAAATAAAACAAAATTATCTCTTTACTCCTTTTTCAATGTCATTGGCATTGCTATATGTGGCATTCTGGTTACTATTGCCCCTTTGGGTTTCCAGGGTAGTTTATCTGTGGTGGTTTTTTCTTTTCCCCCTTGATCAAAATTACTATACTCTATTTTTAAAACTGTTTCTAGAGAGGCACCTTTTGTTTTTTATTGAGCAGCACTGCATTTATATTTTCTTTTTATATATATTTTTTCTGCTTTGAGTGTTTGCTGTTGTTTTTCTAGCTTCTTTAGTTATAGTTAGCTTTTATTCACCATCTTTCTTGTATTATGATTTTTACTGTTTGGCTGCATCAACAGGGTTATTTTTTTTTTTAATTTCTAGATCAATATTTACATTTATTTTTTCTACTTGATTGACTCTTTTATGTGTGTTAAATGGCCTTCTTTGCTGTTAGTATTACTGCATGGGGCTTCTTTTGGTCATCATTTGCCTGGTATAATATACTCACTGTCAGTACATTTCCAAACTTTACCAACATTCTGGCCTCTAGAAATTCCTAAGAAAAATTGTCATTTGTTAATAATAGTTCTCATTATCAGCACAATTATAAGTTTATTGCAGGTTGGGGGCTTGTTTGTGTTTTTTTATCTGTTCAAGATTTCATTTATATCATTGGATTTGGGACCAACTGTCTACCACCGTAACCTAGTCTATTCTTGTTTCTTTTTGTTATAAAAATGGCCATATTTTTCATAGCCTTAAGTCGTTACATTTATTCAGTGAATATAAACTAAAAGAAGGTATCATGTCTTATTTAAGAAAGAAAGAGAAGTTTTTAATTTTGCTGTTTGCTGTTTCTTTATTACTATCAGAAGGAGAAACTAGAAAATGGAGAAAACTGGGGATCAGATACTCATAAATTAGTTCACATACAGTATTGAGAAGAAAAGATGTCTGCCAAATAATTTCTCTACCATGAAGCATCTTATAACACTATCTTTGCCCTACCTGCTAACAATTCTGGTTTAAGATCTAGATGCAGGATATAACTCAGATGATATAACTATTGCACTTGATTCAAATCTCAGAAGTTCCAAGAGGGTACATGAGGCAACCAGTCCTACCACTTTCTTTTGTATTCTATAGGTTATTTACTGACAAATGTATACATTTGGGGGGGAGGGGCCCCAAAAGATGGGAGCTGTAAGGAAAATTGTGGCATGATTTAATAATCTCTAGAAAATAGCCAATGAGAAATAGTTTTTAAAATCCCATGCAGAGTACTCTTATAACTCATTAATAAAGAGACAACCCAACTTACAAATGGGCTAAAGATTTGAATACACATTTCACCAGAAAAATACATAGGGATGGCTAATAAGCACATGAAAATAGGCTCAACATCATTGGATGTTAAGGAGGTCAAGTTAAAACCACAATGCTATATCACTCTATACTCACTAGGATGGCTGTAATCATGAGGAAAACAATAAGCATTGGCAAGGATGTGGATAAATAGAAACTGTCATATGTTGCTGATGGGAATGTAAAATGGTTCAGCCACTTGGAAAAGTTTGGCAGTTATCTAAAGTATTAAAGTATCTGTAACTGGGTCTACAGTTACCATATGACCCAGCAATTCCACTTCTAGCTATCTAAGAGAAATGAGCACATATGTCCACACAGAGACTTTAATTTGAATATTCATGGAAGTATTATTCACAGTAGCCCAAAAGTAGAAAAATGCAAAAGTGTATCAACTGGTAAATCAATAAATAAAATGTATACCATTACAATGTAATACTACTCGGCAATTCAAAGGAACAAATTGTTGACACACACTATAACTGAGGTGAACCTCGAAAACATTATACTGAGTAAAAGTAGCTAGACATGTAAGTCCGTATATTCCATTTACAATAAATGTACAGAAAAGACGAGTTTACAGAGCAGAGTCATAGTTACTTGGAGCTGTGAGTGGGAATGGGGATTACCTATAAATGAGCGTGAAGGATCTTTTTAGAATGATGAAAATGGTCTAAAACTGAAATATAGTGCTTCTTGGTAAGTTTATTCAATGTCATTGAGTTGTACACTTAAAGTGGGTGAATTGTCTTAAAGGCATTTTAAATCCATCGTAACCAAAGCACAATTAATGATGGTCTCCTCCTAAGTCTTCCTTGTGACCCCCACATCCTCCAAATCCTCATTCTCCTTTAGTATTATCTGTCTCCATGAATGGTACCACCATTTTTCAGCTGTGTGAGCTAAGAAACAGAAGAGTAGTTTGTGACCCCGGATCTCTTCTTCCGCTCACTGTATCCAGTCTGTCGTGCAGTCCTTCAGATTGACCTCTGTCTCCACGGCTTTTATCTGCATCAGTGCTTCCCTGGGTGTAAAGGACTGTCATCTCCCACTTACTTTAATATTTAGTCTGCAAGTTGATCTCTTGTGTTTCCCATCTACTTAGACCATTCAAAATTTGAGTTTAAACGATCAGAATACATGCACCTTTTTCCTTTAGAGTATTGGTTATGTGGGGGCATGAGTGCCATCTGAGAATCACCCTAAAATTCAACAAAATCATTAAGTTCCTTTTTTTAACCATCTCTCTGTTCTACTCTTCACACTGTAATTCTTTGATATCCTAGAGCAAACCACATTCCTCCCATCACAGCTCCTTTGCATATGGTCTCTATTTCCCTAAATTTTTGCATGTGGTCTCTGTTTCCTTCATCCTCTGTCATATCCCGTTTCCTAGAACTCCTGTTTATATTTTAGATCTCAGTCCAAACAACACTTCCTAAGAGAGCACTTCCCCCGACTCCCACAATGTCTGATGTCCCTCTGTTTTATATATATATACATATATATATATATATATATAAAGAGCAACTTGTGCTCTTTTTTCAGAGTGCTTGTCGAAGTGTTTAACTTTACTGTCGTTTCTTTCATTATTTGATAGCATCCCTGACTAGACTAATCTGGAAGAGTGCGTTGAACAATGTCTGGGTTTGTCAGTACTGTGTTCTCCAGCCCTATTGCAAGTAACTGACATAGCACATACTCAATAATTACTTTTATACTGACATCTTCAGTGATGTCAGTGTCAAATCTTTGTAGATTTAGTGCTCGTTGATTCATTTTTTCTCTTCACTGACTTTGTATTCTCTGCTTTAGATGATTTTGTTGAATTTTATGGTGTCACTTTCCCAAGGTACTGTTTTTTCTTGTTTCTGAATTATTGGGACTACTTCTCTTTTGCCTATGTATAACTTACACTTGTTTATTGATGGAAATAGTATATGTAAATTATTTTTAAGTCACATATTAAATGGTCTAGGAAAGCTTTATGTTTAAATAAATTCCAGTGGAAGCCATTTTGTAACATAGTTTTCCACTATTATGTCACACTTTTTAATGTGTAATTTTTAATTTGCCTATAATTTTCCTAGAGGAGGCACACTGGTAACTGTTTCTATAAAAGATACTTGATTATTTTCTTTCTTTGATTCTGTGTGATATTTTTCAAAGTGACTGCTTTGTACTAGATATAATCTGTCTTGAAATTACTGCTTTTACTGGATATAATCTTGCCCTTTCACTTTACCTAACAGATGGTGGTTACATTAGCAAAGGTTTTGGTTTTACTCATATTAGAATCTAAGAGCTTATCTGTTGGTTTCATATTACTTTTATTAGCAGATGTATATAAAAATATATGTGTGTGTAAGTATAAATATACTTACATAGAAGGTATTTATAAGCTTAGGCAGTAACTGCTATATTTGCAGCTCTATTAAATACCAGAACCATGTGACCTTGCGGAAGAGACAGTTACTTGCTCTAGTTGGGTCATGGCCCCGATAGTGATGTGAGCACAGCTGGTGGAGGATGGTGTTTCCGTGGGTCTCAGAAACCCTTTGTCTTGTGCGGCCCCAGTGCTCGAGGGACACACTTCACTTTGCTGTGACCGAGACAGGCAGCTGACAGCCTGCTGGAGGCTATGGAGTGCAGCGCCGTGCTTTTGTGAACCTGTGTCATTGAGGCCTTCAGAGCTTTAGAGCAGGAAAGAAGGAAAGCTGTGGGCTGAGAAAGCATGCACCGTTTCTGTATGTACTGATGTTAACTCCATATTAACAGAGGTCATCTCAGAGCAAGCATGAAGCTGGCTCACATGAAGCTGAACGGCAGAATGAAGGTCAAGGAGTGGCAGAAATCAACATGGCAACTGTGGGTAGCGGTCAGGTAAATAGATTATTTTATTAATTTTTTTTCTAGTTAACTATTTAAATATTTTAAAAGAAATACTGAGTGAGATGATTCTCACATGACCTATAAATTTTAACTGTTTCCTTAGTCCTAAATGGATATCTCCAGAAGAATTCAGTACTAAAATGCTATGTCATTTTTCTTTATTATATTTAACTATGAAGCTTTCAAATTTCCAAGGATATTTTATAGCTCTAAAGTATGTGTCTCTGTTTTAGCCTAAAATGATTAATGTGAGTAGAGTTTCTTTGAAAAATAAATACTAAGCTGCATTTTGGTCATATGTGATTTGACCTAGTTATTACTGCTTGCATTGAATAGATTTGCTCTTTCTCTGTGGCATTCTAAGATATTTTTATGTTTTTTTTTAAAAAATCATAAAGAGTTAATATTTTCATCTTCAGTTGTATTCCAGGATTATAGAAACCTAGCATTTAAATAAACAATTCTAATGCCCATTAAAATAAAAGTAAATAAATACCCTAGTCATATTTACTATTATCATCTTTAGCAAAATTATGGAAAACAATTTTTTAAAATGTAGAACATTATCTTGTTGTGCTGCCATCAGTTTTCTATTAGAGTTTGATTGGAATGTATCTTAATGAGTATTTTTCTTTGGAGTGTTCTGTATTCTCCACATTTTTTCAAGCAATATTTTATGTTTTAAATGAATAATTTTTTAAAATACAGTTTCAACTAAGTTGATTTTAAGGAAATTTTCTTACTGTTGATATAAAATATTCCTTTAGTGTCTATAGATTACTTTTAATGATACTATTTATTTAGAAAGAACATGGTTCTATTAGTTCATTAAAATTTAAAGCTTAAAATGTCTCATACTTAATTTAAATATTTAAATTTACCACATTTAAACAAAAATATACTTCATTTTAATATTACTGGTCCACATTGTACTGGGTAATACTCTACAGATGGTAAATTAGGGCAAAAGAAATTATATTCCGATAGTACATTCGGGTTCTTTGTCTACTACTTAGGGAGTTCTCTGGGAATATCATGTGTTCCTACACATATGTAGAAAGAAGTTCTGTCTTCTTGACAAAAACCTTTTTTTTTGCTTTAGGATTAAGACCCACTATTAATACTTTGGGGTCATATTTCAATTATTATATCCTTTAAAGCCTCACCTAGACAATAAGCTCAATATTTATTTTTTAATTGAATTCTTATCTCATTTCTTATATCAGAATTTAACTCTGAATATATTAGATTTAATGTCAAAAATGAACACTTTAAAAAACAGTTTACTTATTTGCCTATGTTGTGTCTTAGTCGTGGCATGTGAGATCTTCTTCCCTGCGGCACGCGGGATCTTCTGTTATGCCGTGCAGGCCCAGAAGTCGTGGCCCTCGGGCTTAGTTGCCTTGCAGTATGTGGGATCTTAGTTCCCAGACCAGGGGTCAAACTCGCATCCCCTGCATTAGAAGGCAGATTCTTAACCACTGAATCACCAGGGAAGTCCCCCAAGTGAAAACTGTTAGAAATATTAAAAGGTAAGGAAATGAGCATAGAGTTTTTATAATCATGAAGTGAGTAGGAAACCATTAAAGAACCATAGGTTTCATCTAAAAATGTAAGACTTTAGTGTGCGATAAAATCATAACAAACTTACCAGACAAAAACCAAGATCACATTAATGACACTACAGCGACTTCCAGATCTTAATGTAGATAAGAGGTGTGTCTGTGAGACTGTGATCCAGTTATGCCAAAATCCCTTTACCTGTCAGACTCTTGGGGTTTGTTCATTTCTTTTGTTATTTGCTCCAGAGACAAAACAGTTGACACTAACAAAACTGAAAATAATCTCTTTGACTTTCTCAGGATCACAGTAATATGATCCATCAAGCTCCTGCCCTAGTGCCCTTATCTCTACCACTGTGAGGAAGGAAGTTCATTGTACCTCACCTGGTTTCCTGCCCACAGCCACTCTGCCAGAATGATCTTTCACGAGTAAATCACCCTCTTGGTAAAATCCTTTGTTGGCATCCATTGGTTCTCAGAAAAAGACAAGCCTTATTACGACCTGTATAATCTGGCTCCTGCCTAAACTTGCCAGCTGTCTGTCACCCTTTGCTCTCAGCATTTCTGCCACCCTGGCCCTTCAGGGCCTTCGCTTGACGGCTTCCTCTTCTGCAGCCTGCACACCATCCACACCCATTCCCTCTTGTGCCTTCTCATCCTGCTTCACTCACTTAACAGCAGTTTGTGTGTGTCTGAACTTTAGCGTGATTTCTCTCAAGGGGCTTGAACTGTTCACATCCCATTACAGGCTGTCCTCGCTTGTTCTTCTCACTTTGAAGACCACATTTGCAGTTTTATATTTATTTATGTGGTTATTTCTGTTCTCCCTGCTAAATTGTAAGCTCCAGAAAGACAAAGATTCTTTCCAGTTTTATTCATTTTTATATCCCCACAGTCCCTGGTAAATAAATAGTAAATAATAGCAATGAATATATGTAGGTTGGAAGGGATAACTAACATCCCTTCTAGAAAGAGGGATTTTTGATCTGTGATTAATCTCTCTTGAACGTTAAATGAAAAGACAAAGCTAGAAATAAATTATATGGGCTAGATCCCTACTTGCTTAGTATATAACTTTGTGTGTAATTCGTTTATGAACCGATCTCAGCTTTTCCATTTAATGTTTAGAACCAGATCTCTAGTGAGACAACCAGTAAGTAGTGATGAAGTTCAAACAAGACTGGGAAAGAGATGAAGTGGTAGGAGAACCTTTTCCACTGCCAATAATATGTTTTTAAACCTGTTATTATGGAAAATTTCAAATATATACAGAGGCAAACAGAGTAATAGAGTAATCTGCAGGTACCCTATATACTTTGTCCTCTGATTTTATTTTTGGAAAAGATCCCAGACATCATCATTTTTTGCTTAAATATTAAATACTTCACTGTGTATTTCCAGAATATAACATTTTTTTAATTGAAATGTAGTTGATTCCTAATATTGTTAGTTTCAGGTATACAGCAAAGTGATTCAGTTATATTGTATTTTTTCCAATTCTTTTCCATTTTAGGTTATTACAAGGTATTGAATATAATTCCCTAGGGCTTCCCAGGTGGTGCTAGTGGTAAAGAACTTGCCTGCCAGTGCAGGAGACAAAAGAGATGCGGGTTTGATCCCTGGGTTGGGTAGATCTCGAGGGCGTGGCAGCCCACTTCAGTGTTGTTGCCTAGAGAATCCCACGGACAGAGGAGCCTGGCAGGCTATGGTCCATAGGGTCACAAAGAGCTGGACGTGACTGAAGTGTCTTAGCATGCACACACGCACATACTATAAAGTAAATCCTTGTTTATTTTATATATGTCAACGTGTGTTTATCTGGTAATCCCACACTCCTAATTTATCCCTCCTCCCATTTCCCCTTTGATAACTATAAGTTTGTTTTCTGTGTCTAAGAATACTTTCTTTTGAATTGAAAATACAATTGATTTACATTATTGTGTTTTAGCTCTAGAGCAAAGTGATTCAGTAACATATACATATTTTTTGGATTATTTGTATCTGTTGATCCCATACCTTTAATTTGTCCTTCTCTGTCGTCTGTGGTAACTGTAAGTTTGTTTTCTGTGTCTGTGAGTCTGTTTCTGTTTTGTACGTAGATATATTTGTATTATTTTTTAGACTGTACGTATAAGTGATCTCATATAATGTCTGTCTTTGTCTGACTCCCTCACTCAGTATGGCATTCTCTAGCTCCATCCATGGTGCTGCACGTGACAGTGTTTCATTCTTTTTGTGACTTCTTAAACCATTGTATCTTCTTAAAACCATCATCTGTTGATGGGCACTTGGGTTCTTTCCATGTCTTGGTTATTATAAATAGTGTTGCTGTGAACATTTGGGTGCATTTATCTTTTCAGATTAGAGTTTTCATCTTTTTTTAATTTATGCCCAGGAGTGAGATTGCTGGATCATGTGGTAACTCTATTTTTAGTTTTTTAAGAAACCTCCATACCATTTTTCATTGTGGCTGTACCAATTTATATTCCCACTAACAGTGTAGGAGGATTTCCTTTTCTCCACATGCTCTCCAGACTTTTTGCTTTGATGGTGGCCATTTTTAATTTGAATTTCTCAGTAATCAGTGATGTTGAGCGTCTTTTCATGATTTGTTGGCTATCTGTATGCCTTTTGAAGGAATGTCTGTTTAGGTCTTCTGTCCATCTTTTGATTTTGTTGCTTTTATTTTTTTTTTTTATTTTTTTGATACTGAGTTGTATGAGCTGTTTGTACATTTTGGATATTGACTGTCAATCAGATATTTTCTCCTAGTCTGTAGGCTGTGTTTCTGTTTTGTTGATAGTTTTCTTTACTGGAAAAAATCTTTTAAGTTTGACTAGGTCCCATTTGTTTATTTTTGCTTTTATTTGTTTTCCCTTGGGAGACTGATCTAAGAAAATATTGCTATAATTTGAGACTATGAGACTATTTTGCCTATGTTTTCTTCCAGAAGTTTTATGGTATCATGTCTTATACATATGTCTTTAAAACAATTTGAGGGTTTTTTTTGGCTTGTTTGTTTATGGTGTGAGGGTGTGTGCTGACTTCACTGATTTACATGTAGCTGTCCAGCTTTCCTAGTGTCACTGGCTGAAAAGACCGTCTTTTCTCCGTTGTGTGTTCTTACCTCCTTTGTCAAGGATTAATTGACTGTAGGTATGTGGGTTTACTTCTGGGCTCTCTGTTCTGTTCTTTTGGTCTGTGTGTCTGTCTATCATGTTTTTGTACAAATGCCATGCTGTTTTGATTACTGTAGCTTAGTAGTATTGTCTGAAGTCCCAAAGCACTCTGCAGATTTAATGCAATTTCTGTCAAGATGCCTATGACATTTTTCACAGAACTAGAACAAATAATACTAAAATTTCTATGGAACCACAAAAGCAGTTCTGCAGCCAGTGGACACCTAGAATACATAACTCTTATGCCATTATTACACTCCCAAAGAAGCTAACAGTAGTTCCTTGGTAGCATCAGATGACTAGTCAGTATTCAAATTTGCAGTTGTTTCATAAATGTCATAATTTTTAAATTTATTTGACACAAGGGCCAGATAAAGTTCATGCACAGAGATTGGTTAATGTGTCTTTGAAGTTTCTTTTAATCTATAGATTTCTTCTTTGTCTCTTAGATTTTTGCTGTATATTTATTGAATAACCAAAGTTATTTGTCTTCTCAAGTTTTCCATAGTCTGAATTTTGCTAGGAACATCTGCATGGTGAAGTTTGACCTATCTCTCTGTCTTCTGTATTCCCTGTAAATTGGTATTGGGTCTAGCAATGTGATCAGATTTGGTCTCAGACCCTCATTCTATGGCTGAGACTTTCATAGGTAGCATAGTGGTCTTCCACCAGGAAGCACATAACACCTCGTGGACTCTCTTTTTGTGATATTAACAGCATTTATACTTAATGCCTAGCTTTATTAATTCACTAAGGGTTGTAGAATTAGCTGTAGTACTTTAATAAAGAGAAACTTCTCATCTACTGTTGGACCACTTCCATGTACCATCTGTATGAAAAAAGGCAAGGTGAGGAGGGTGCTTGCTTCTTTTGCTTCTTCTCCCTCTTACACAGTTTCACAGAGAGTTGGAGACTATTGCTACCTTTATGGTGAACTTTTTAGAGTCACTTTGTTTTGTTTTCTCAGAAAAATACTGTTTTTGAGTCCCTTCCTAAAGTGAGCAAGCAGATAATAGAAGAGGGATTTGTACCCAGCAAGTGTAGTAGAAATTGACTGTGTCCCAGCTGTACTGATTGAACTGCCAGGCATAGTCCTTCTTGGGCCCCTCGGCACACATTTGAGTGCCTCTGGTGGCAGTGGATATTGAAAGGTGGATAAAGGAAGACCAGAAAATAGAGAGGTGCTTGATTCTAATGTGTGTTGAAAAGGAGATGCAGGTCAGAAGCAACAGTTAGAACCAGACATGAAACAACAGACTGGTTCAAAATCTGGAAAGGAGTACATCAAGGCTGTATATTGTCACCGTGCTTATTTAACTTATATGCAGAGTACATCATGTGAAATGCCAGGCTAGAAGACTCACAAGCTGGAATCAGGATTGTTGGAAGGAATATCAGCAACCTCAGATATGCAGATGATACCACTCTAATGGCAGAAAGTGAAGAGGAACTAAAGAACCGCTTGATGAGGGTGAAAGAGGAGAGTGAAAAAGCTGGCTTAAAATTCAACATTCAAAAAATGAAGATCATGGCATCCTGTCTTACCATTTCATGGCAAATAGATGGGGAAAAGTGGGAACAGTGGCAGATGTTATTTTCTTGGGCTCCAAAATCACTGCTAATGGTGACTGCAGCCATGAAATTACAAGACACTTGCTCCTTGGGAGAAAAGCTATGACCAACCTAGACAGCATATTAAGAAGCAGAGACGTCACTTTGCCAACAAAGGTTCATATAGTCAAAGCTATGGTCTTTCTAGTAGTCATATATGGATGAGAGAGTTGGACTGTAAAGAAGGCTGAGCAGTGAAGAATTGATGGTTTTGAACTGTGGTGTTGGAGAGAGTCCCATGGACTGCAAGGAGATCAAACCAGACAATAGTAAATGAAATCAACCCTGAATATTCATTGGAAGAACTGATCTGGAAGCTCCAATACTTTGGCCACCTGATGCAAAGAGGCAAGTCATTGAAAAAGACCCTGATGCTGGGAAAGATTGAGGGCAAGAGGAGAAGGGGACGAAGGAGGATGACATGGTTGGATGGCTTCACCAACTCAAAGGACATGAGTTTGAGTAAACTCCAGGAGATAGTGAAGGACAGCTTGGCATGTTGCAGTCCATGGGGTCACAGAGAGTCAGACATGGCTTAGCAACTGAACAATAACCATTTCTTACAGGTTACTGCTTCTCTGGTCCCTCTGAAGGATGTTGCTGCAGACTTAATCATAATAAAAAGGCCCAGGAAAGATTCTCAAGACTCAAGTTCTGGCTTATGGGTAGTATGGGTATGGGAATGTTCTCTTGGAATCTCCTTATAATAAATCCATCTAGGTTTCTAGCTAGAGAGTTGGGGAGAGCAGAGTGGAGTGTCCCAAAATCAAGAATCTGTATAGAAAGATACCAAGTCTGAAGCTTAAAGGTGATTTGATGTCTACACTGAAATGAATGTCAGAACATGTTTCATCATAGACATGGGTTTTTCCTTGCTTTGTAATGTAACCTCTTGTTTCTCTTCTGTTTCAAGCAATATGTTAGTTATCTATTGCTGCCTGACAGATTTAGCAGCTTAAATCAGCAACCATTTATTATCTCTATAGGTCAGGAATCCTGGTGCAGCTTAGCTGAGTGCCTCTGGTTCAGGGTCTCTCATAGGCTGCGGTCACCATGTTGGCTGGGGCCACAGTCATTTCAAGATTTGATGAGGGGAGGATCTGCTTCTAAACTCACCATATGACTGTTAGCAGGCCTGAGATATCCAGGCTGTCGGCCAGTGGTATCATTTCTTGCCACCAAGGCCTCTACAAAGAGCAGTTCATAGTGTAGTATCTGGCAACCCTCAGAGAAGAACAAGAGAGGGTGTCCAGGATGGAAGCCACAGTCTTTGTAAACTTATCTTGAAAGTGACTTCTCGTCATATCTTTAGCAGTCTGTTCACTGAAAGCCTTACACAAAATCTGGCCTACACTTAACCACAGGAGTAGTTCATAAGGTGGTGAATTCTAGAAGACAAGGCTCCTTACGGGTTGTGTTACATCCTCACTACCAGAAACAGTCAAAGTCTTTAGATATCCTTAAAGACAGTATGCTTGCTTCAGCATAAGGAGTCATTCATTTCCTCCTGTAGATCAAAAGCAGCCCTTTGCCAAAATTTCCTTAAAAGTCTCCCACCTGCTCTCTGTATCTTGAGTCTTGGTCCCTCAACTCCATCCTCCTTATTGCAATCAGAAGAAGCTCTTAATCTCCAAGTGAGTCAGCTTCTCTGTGTGTGTGTGTGTGTGTCTCTCTCTCTCTCAGGCACACACACACGTACACATTCTTTGTGACCTGTGCTTAGGGCCTCTGCCTCATCTGAGCTGCTGTGTGGCTAACCCTCCTCTTTTTTAATGAGACACCTCTCTGTCGTTCACAGTCAGACAGCCCTTTACTCTGTAATCCCGAACTGAGTGCCCGCCACTCCTGTCTGCACACCTGTGCTCGTCAAGGCACGTGTGTGTACATGTTGAGCAACCTGTCTAGGCTCCGTATGCAGCGAGGGGGGGGGGGGGGGGTGTCTTACTCACGTTCCTACAGACTAGCATTGCACCAAGAAAGGACAGAAATGGTATGGACGTAACAAGCAGAAGATGCTAAGAAGAGGTGGCAAGAATACACAGAAGTGCACAAAAAAAGACCTTCATGACCCAGATAACCACAATGCTGTGGTCACTCACCTAGAGCCAGACATCCTAGAGTGTGAAGTCAAGTGGACCTTGGGAAGCATTTCATCACTCAATGGGGCTTTCTTCCAGCCAGTGTGTATTTAACTGAATATGGTTTCATGCCTTTTGATTTGGGAAAGAATATTACTCTTAGAATGTCTTTAGTGTTTGGTTTCTTCTACATTGTACTTTGTCTTTTACAACAGTTTTTTTTTTCCTCCTTCAGTCTTTCTCTAAATTCTAGTCAAGTTTATAGATAAAAATACTCATTTTGAGCAGTTATAAACGTTCACCCTTTGATGGTATATTTAGCTATTTACCCTAAAGACAGTTCATTTGGAGTATCTTAGCATGAAGCTAGCTATATTTATCTATAATCTAAACTACACTGCCTATAATTTGCTTAATTTCTAGGGGTCAAGTACACGAATAGATCATGAAACAGCCAGTGTTCTGAGCTCTAGTAGCACACATTCTGCTCCTCGAAGGCTGACCAGTCATCTGGGAACCAAGGTAACGGATTATAGCGTCTTGTCGCTAGAACTCTGAGTGCTCTACTAAAACATTCTTCATGCTTCTTTTAATTTTGGCTTAAGGATTCTGTTGTTTCCATCATCGCAGTCTCTTAAAGAACTGACAGCCAGGTCTCTGCAAGCATCCTGAGGTGCCGCCCGCAGCTGGCTCGCCCCCCCCGAGCCCACCCTCCCCGTGACTTTCTGCCTGGCCGCCCTGGCTGCGGTGGTGCAGCCCTCCACTTCCCACCCCGCTGCACGGCGACCCTCAGGCTCCTCGCCAGCCTGCAGAGCTCTTCTTGGGCTTTCCTTCTTTGCAGAGCGCCTTCCGACCCAGGGCCCTCGCGCCTGCCCATGCAGTCTGTGTCTGCCTCCTTTGAAGCACTGCATTTGGAGCACGGGGACTGTCTTTTAAACAGTATATTTTCTGTTACATTTAAATACTTCCTTGTTTTCATAGCATATTCTACATACTCTTTCTTTACTTTAGTAATATCGTGGCTCTGAGGAAAAGCATTACATAACTAATGTCCATATAAGAAATGAATTTTAGAGTAGCAGTGATACTATTAATATAAAGCTTAATCCTTTTAGTAACTCACAATAGTTACTACTTGGGATCACTAATATGCCAGTAACTGCTAAGAGTTATACGTAAACTATCTCTGATCTTTTCCAAAACCCTTTGAATGTATTATTCTTGCCCCTCTTTTAAGTGAGAATACTGAAGCCAAAAAGATGGTAATTAAATTAGAATTCTACCCAGTCTGTCCAACATAAGTAGTTTTTACTATAAAGAAAACCTTTAATATTTAAGAGTACTATTACTTGAAAACTGGCAGCTTGAATACCATTTCCTTTTGGAGTGATTTTTGCACGATAATATTAAGACCTTACTACATTTTTGAATGCCAGTTACTGTCCTGTATACATGTGTGACTTTACTTAATCTTCACAAAGAAAGCCCTATTAGGTAAATTACTCCGTTTTGCAGCTGAGACAGCTGGACCTCAGAGAACTCCGGTAACTTGGTTGTGTCACACAGCTCACTTGCAAATAGTAAGACATTGCCAGAAGAGTCTCAAGGTGGCTAAAGTTGCCCCTGGTTTGGAACCACTAATTTATAGATATGATGCATTTATATAATAGCCTCAACTTTCACGCAGTAGCTCTTGCTTTTAAAAAATGCGGTTGATCACAGGACAGTATGACTGGGTGCTATTTCCTGTTTCTGATCTGCTTCTGAGTAAATTCTTGGAATTTACAGTAAGGGAGTAATGATGTTTACCAGCTGTTTGAAAAAAAAAAATAAGAATATTGACTTTGTATCTCTGTATGATCAGGGATCATCCCTATATGATCCCTTTATGACAAAATAATTTACATGTATAAGGGAGACATCATAATTTTAACAATATTATAATCTGGTGACGGTTAGCAATTGCTTAGAACCAGTACTTAGTAAATAGTAATTGCTAAAAAACATTTTCTCTTCACTGATTATGGTTGTAGATTTTTAAAAGTAAAATTTTTAATTGTGTAAAGAATTTTAGATAAACCACATTTCTTGCTCTGTATGTGTTGGTAGGGGTGTGTGTGTGTGGTGGGTGGGGGAGATGTGAGAAAGAGAAAAATCACTTGATTGTCTTTCATTATGATAACAGATTATCACCCACTGATCCAGACAATTGCAGTTTAGGTATACAAGAACCTACTGTCTGCTTATGACTATATACTACCACTACTAATATTTACTCATAAAGAAGATGGTGATAATGATTATAGCAATATGGATTTTGAAATAACGCTCATTACTTCATCCTGGAAAGAGATTTTTGTTTTTGTTTCTGTTTTTGTTTGAGTTACAACTAGTATCCCATTCATCACTTCATTGGTGTTGGCTTTTAGCTATTAAAGTCATAATTTTGTTTCTAAACTCATTTGGCCCACAGGTGGAAATGGTGTATTCATTGTTGTCAATGCTTGGTACTCATGATAAGGATGATATGTCGCGAACTTTGCTAGCTATGTCTAGCTCCCAAGACAGCTGTATATCCATGCGACAGTCTGGATGTCTTCCTCTCCTCATCCAGCTTTTACATGGCAGTGACAAAGACTCTGTGTTGTTGGGAAATTCCCGGGGCAGTAAAGAGGCTCGGGCCAGGGCCAGTGCAGCACTCCACAACATCATTCACTCACAGCCTGATGACAAGAGAGGCAGGCGTGAAATCCGAGTCCTTCATCTTTTGGAACAGATACGAGCTTACTGTGAAACCTGTTGGGAGTGGCAGGAAGCCCATGAACAAGGCATGGACCAGGACAAAAATCCAAGTATGTTCCATATGGTGCATGTGACAAAGCAAATGTAAAAGTTTTTGAAATGAAAAGTTTTTTAATTAGGACGGTGTCTTTATGAATCAGAGTGGGAAATTCATGTTAGCCACCTGCACTGCTCACATAGTTTAAAGCTTAATTTCTCTATTTCCCTAGAAAAAAAGTTAGCAAAGGAAAATGTTGTGTGCACTACAGTGCAACCAGAAAATAACAGAAAATCAAAGTAGACTTAAACAATCTTAGCATAGTTGATCTAGAAAGAACTTGAGCGATTATGTTCTCCTTCTCTTGAGATTAAGCTCAGGAAAGTGACTTTACGTAAGTCCCTTCAGCTGTGAGTGACCAAGCCGTTCTCTTATATTTGCATATCGCTTTACTCAGTGGATGCAGAGCTGTGTTATATCTGTTATTTGATCCTTACAACAACCTTGTGAAGTAGGAAGGGAAGACATTACCATCTTCATTTTACAGATGAAGAGACTGAGGTTCAGAGAGGCCAAAAGACTTGCCTGTGGCTACACAGGTAGTGGGTGGGGGATCCAGGACCAGGGCCAGACCCCCCGACCCTCAGCCCAGTGTCCTTCCCACTTCACTGTCTGTCTTCAGGCCTTGGGGCCCAGCTGCTGGCGTGATCAGCCACCCAGCTCTTTTCTCAGGGAGAAACCCTCCCCCAGGAGCAGGGGTCATGGGAGTTGGGACCCTTGGGGAGATAAGTTACTTCATTCCTATAGGAAGAGCCAAAAGCAGTAAGCATATAAGGTAAGACCTCCTTTCACCTGATAAGAACCCACACACAGACATACACACAACAAAGGACTATCAAGTCAATATCTTGATTGGGGGAGCAGGAGAAAGACTGATGATGAGAACTTGATCTATAAAGATTTAGTAGATTTCTCTTAGGGTTAGGTATAAAGGTGAATTTATTTAAAATTAAACATTTTTCAACAGTAAGAATATAGCAGAAATGTCCTTTCTGTTTGTCCTAGGGCTAGGGAGAATTAATAAGTTGCTTTACTGGGAGAACATTATCTTTCTGGATTGTTTTCTTTGGCTGTCCACAATTATGTAATGACTTGTATTGTGTGCTCTTAATACCTGTTCTCAGAAAAGTTAAATAGAATAAATACTATTACTTCTGAAAAATAGACTTGGTTTTTCAATTTTTATTTCAAGTAACAGTTTTGAAACTTTATGCATAACACTAAATGTGCAAGTACATTTTCTTAGACACTTTTCCTTTAAATTTTTATTTACTATCTGGTGTCTATATAATAAACTTTCTCTACTAGAGTCGTACTAGGTTTCTCTGTACATTTCTATACAGCCATGTGCCTTTCAGCTTTGAAAATAGAAATTATAAATAAAGTTTTATACCAAAATGTTTTTATTATTTCAAATAACCAGTATAATTTTTAAGTTATTAGTTGAATTATAGCATAAACCTACATGGGAGTTAGTCCAGCAGACTTGGTGAAAGGCTGGTGAGGGGTAAACATTTTTACAGAAACAAGAAAAGCCCTTTACCCGTATTTTCCTTTCCATGTGTATAGTAGTTATTCATCTCTTCAGCAAATACTTGTTGATTCACTAAGCTACCATGCATGAGAAGTATATCTGCAAACTCAGTATTTTTTAGGTATAATAAACATCACTACTTTGAGGAAACAAAACATTATGGTTTATGTCAACTTTATTTTTCAGTGCCAGCTCCTGTTGAACATCAGATCTGTCCTGCTGTGTGTGTTCTAATGAAACTTTCGTTTGATGAAGAGCATAGACATGCAATGAATGAACTTGGTAAGATAAAAATGTTTCTTAATGCCATAGAAGAATCCTGAAGATTTTTCATCATTGTTGAATTAGGATATAAGGCCACTAACTTCTATTACCATCTGTTTCTTCCTTGTAGCAAATGACTGGTTTCCAGAGAAGACAATGTCCTAAGTGACAGAAACTGCTACCCTTTTATAGCCTAACTTGGGTTTTTTAAATCTTAGCCAGAGATGGGCAAAAATAAATAAATAAATGGGCCACTCTTGCCAATATTGTCAAGGTAGACTCTGGGTGACAGTTGGTGGGAGGGTAATTTGAATCGTTTTGAGATGTGATGATGTGGAGCTTTGTAATTATTCTTGAACTCAGTCACTTCTGATGGACACAGGAAGGAATTATTATTAAGATTCTCATTTATCTTCATGGTTATCCGTACTTTACTGGATTTTCATGATAAGCAGTGTGGTTGATATCTCTGAAATTTGTTAATAATGGAAAAGCATTATTCTCTAATTTATGTTAGAAAACATTCCATTAATTTTGGAAGGATTACTCTTAGTATGTGTTCTCACATACTCTGAACCTTACAGAACCTGCCTCTGTGGCCCCCATTTTTCATGTGATGGTTTCTCTTTGGTTTCTAGGTTCATTTTGCACATGTGGTATTTGTAAGTTGCATCATGCTGAGCCATCTCATGTGAACCTGGATCGCTGTAGTCATGCCACAAGCAAGAAGCACGCACTGAGTCTCCATCTTGGTGTAGCTGTGCCCTTGCTTTTTGTGCTGTTTACGTTACCTTTCATTCCAGGCCCCGCTTTGCATCCCTGCCACCCTTACCATTTTCATTCATCATTTATCTTAAAGTGACAAAGTTGTGAGTCTCTTAAGACGCAGAGAACCTGAACAGCGGCTGAGAATGAGTGCTGTCCCCTTGAGACCGTCATTTTGGGAGGCTGTGTGTACTTGGTCTCCGCCTGCCCCCAGCTGTACGTTTCTCCCCACAGGCCCTAGCCCGCTTGATTCTCTTCCCTTATTCCCCAGGTTCCTGTGAAATTGAGTATGCACTTGTGAGTTCTCCCCTCCTCAATACAATCCAGCATTGGTGAAATTTCAAGTTTGGGTGGTTTTTTTGTTTTTTTTTAACACTCATAATAATGAGAAAAATAATGAACAAACAGGAAAACTAATCCAGTTTTAAGCTCCCACAAATGTTTTCTCTAAATGTCCCTGTGTTCCAATGAACTGTAGACTAGGACTGACCCACATTAATCATCTGAATTTCCAAGTGAAATCTAGACTCAGTATTTGTTCCTCTTCCTTCTTCAGGTAGGAAGGCTACCCGGGGCATTTCATCCCAGGAGCTAGGGCAGGGGCTTTCAGGTGAGGAGCAGGATGGGGCCTCTGGGGGTGTGACTGTGGGGATGTAGCCACAGGGGACTACCTTCTCACTCCTAGCCTCTGACTTTGCGCTGGAGCCAAAGAAGAAACAAGGTGTGTAGACTGTGGATAGATGCAGTCAGGTAGCACAAGGGATCTGACAGTGAGGGATAGGAGGAAAGTAGTCCCCAGTAGATGAAGAAAAATTCCTAAGCCCAGTCAGCTAGGACTGTCTCTTGTAGATGCAAGAAAATTCTACAACCATTAGGGTCATTTAAGTTTGCAACTATTAGTGTTGCAAGTTTTAGACTATAATACCAGGAATGTACACATTTATTAATTTCCAACTCCGTCCTAGAAACTGTGCTAGGCACTAGATAACAAAAATGAAATCCAGTAAGTGGCCCAGGTGATTCTTATGATCAGGAAAGTTTGTGAAACTACCAATATATAGAATATTGTTGCTGAACCCTACTTATTTTAGAATGAGGTATTTAATGCTAATGGTGACTGTCTAAACCAAGTAAAAGAAAAGTAATATACTTTTTAAAAATTCTGTCATCTTTCTATTATCTTGTTTTGATAAGTTTAAGAATTTTGGTAAATGTCACCTGAAGACATTGATCATCTACTATCTATAAGGTTATGAGATACCATACGAGATAATATTTGGTTCATCTGGACCACTATTCTCTATAACACATACACGAAGAAAATGTGGAAGGATGTGCTCATGACCTTTACATTACCTTGAAACATCCTAGTATTTCTTAGGGCAACCAATTTTTTTTCCTATCTGTCATGAATTCACATGTTTTTGTGAATCCATTTTTAAAGTATATAGATTCTTTGCCTTAAAGTTCACTGGAAGTTTTTTTTGGTTAACTCCTGGAAATCATAAAGGGTCTCTCTCTTTTATCTAATACACTAAGTTTTATTGAATGTTCTTTTTTCATTAGCACGTTCTTCATCATTTTATTGGCATTAATCATGTTGTTCCTTAATCATTGTTTTCAGAATCAAGTCCTAATATTTTTGGTTTTTCCGTACAAAAGTAGTCAAGGGCCTTCTTGGGAGGTTCTTGAGATTATTTCACATGTTACTTTCTTAGAACAGTGTCACATATGCTGCTGTGCCAGGCAGGGTTTTATGAAGGCATGAAGCAGAGTGTGCTGTGTATGGCTTTGATGGTCCGCTTTGTAACTCTCAATATTTGGTGATCTGATCAGTAACAGGGCCACTGTCTTTAGGTCAGCAGTGACTTCCAGGTCTGTTTCCTAGTCAAGACAATAGTTCCTCCTTTACTGAAGGATTAAATAGTGGAATTTTCTGAAGCTCTGTACTAGGCTTTCTTCCACTCTCCCTAGGCTATATACTCTACTACATGGCTTCCCTGACCATGTTTTTCAAACTCACATCTTAATCCACGTTCTCTCTCCTGAGATTTACACACATTTTCGTACTGCTCCTCCAGGATTTTCACCGAGATGATTTTTCAGACATTTCTGACTAAACTGACAGAAACTGAGTCTGTCTCCTCCATCCCCAAAACTGTCTCTTGACCAGGGTTCCTTTTCTCAGACGGTAGCCTTTCCGTCAACCCACTTGCTGAAGCCAGAGTCTTAGACTCTTGGACTCTATTCCTGTTTCGTGGACTCTACTCGTGTCCCCTATATCTGCTAACTGCTTTAATTCGGCTCTTAAATGCATCCTGCACCACTGCTACTCTTTTTATCCCCAGCACAAGCAAAGCCTCTTTCTTCACTCCTAGTCTCCCGTGGTTTGTCTTACTTGGCTCCCCGCCTCCAATCGTAATCATTCTGTAGCCTTAATCTGTTTAGAACATACATCTGATTATTCTTTTCTCCTGCATTAAATCCTTGGTGAGGCACATAAAGTCTTGTATTACCTGGCATTTCTGTAGCCTCTCCTCGTTGCTGTATGTTAATGTTCCAGGTCCAGCAGTCCTTACACATGCTATTTTATCTGCTTGAAATGCTTCCTTACTGTTTCTCCTCTACCCTTTTTGGACAGTCATTCATCCTTTACGTCTCAAGTTAAGCCTTAGCTCCTCAGCCACTGTCCTGACCCTTCCGGTCTACGTCAGGTCTGCCTCTTTATCGTGCCCCGTGCTTCTCCACACTCATGACATTGAAGTTAGCTGTTCGGTGGCTGTCTGTACTGATCTGTAAGCTCCATAGAGACGCTGGTGGTTTTGTTCATTGGCTGTTTATCTTTCCCATTATCATGGGTGGATGGGGAAAAATCTTCCTAAATATGGTTCGGCTTTTCCTTAACCAAATTAATTTTTATTTACCTACATTCAGACTTATCTGTCACTGGTGCCAGTTATAAAGACTTACACAAATGTTCCAAGACTTAAATCCCTGGCTTGGCATTCTTGACCAAAAATTGAACTTGGTCTGTTTTGCAAACTTGCTGATTGCTCTGCATACTGATCCTTCTAGATCATTTACAAAAATAATGAATGTACAGATCCTCTTTCAGATTAATGACCTGACAGTTTAGACTTATAGTATCCAAGAATTACCTGTTTATATTCATCATATCTCCGGTTTCATAATGATTAATATTGATGATGAATAATATTTTGAATAACCTTCATATGCATTTTTATTTTTCTTTTTATTCACTCTCTCACCATCTTGCTTCACCTTTTGTCCTGCTGTTTTGTGTTGTCTTTCTGCTACCCCTTCCTTTATGTCTTTTCCTTTCCTTTCCCTTCATTTTTCTCCTTGCCTTCCTACTGTTGACCACTGTGGACATTGTTAAGTATACCCAGTGGTGGAAATCAAGGGGAAAGAAAATACTAAGGACTTTGTGTGTATCAAAGAAAAGTAAGAATTTAAAAAGAAAAAACATAAAAATGGTTCTATACAGCTTAGTAATAAGTTGAAGAGGTAATTCTTTTTCATAGAAAAAATATAAGCTTTGCTTCATGCACTATTTCACTTAGAAGTTTTAGTATTCCTAATGATACTAAAAATTATTTTGGAGATAAAAATATATTAAAGTAATTAGGCCACAGTGTGTGACACTGAAGAATGTTTATAAAGTCCTAGTAATAAAGTTATCTTTTTCTGCTTACATTCAAGAGGACCTAATAGTAGAAAATAGTCTTCTTATTCCTTGACAGGATAGAGTATATTGCAGTAAACAGAGTATAATATTCATCTTATTCAGTAAGACAGGGGGCTGGAGGGTGGAGAAACTGGCAGAAAATGAAATAGTTGTCACTTGTACTTGATAAGTATATTACATAAGAGTGCTTCATAACATTTTTTGTAGCTTGTAATTTTGAAGACAGAATTAAACCCTGTATTCTCATTCTTTGAGATTTTTCTCTAGTAATTTATAAACTTGGTAACCATTTGTGTTATTTTAGATTACTGTCTTTTTCCTCTTGCCCTTTTTAAATTAGGGGGACTACAGGCCATTGCAGAATTATTGCAAGTGGACTGTGAAATGTATGGGCTTACTAATGACCACTACAGTATTACTTTAAGACGATATGCAGGAATGGCTTTGACAAACTTGACTTTCGGAGATGTAGCCAACAAGGTATGTTTTATAAGATCCATTTCTTAAGATAGCAAGATAGCTCTTTTATTCCATACAGACTACTTTTCACTTTCTTTTTTGTCACTCTCCTCATTAAACACTGACTAATAAAAACCTGTACTTTATATTCCACTGCAATATCCTTACTCGTTTGATGTCTAATGCCTAAACAGAGGCAAAGATGGAACCGAGAAGTGAATTTATGTAATCGCACTTAAAGCCCTGTTCCTGGGCAGACTTCCCTGGTGGCCCTGCAGTTAAGACTCCGCTCTTCCACCACAGGGAGCACAGGTTCAGTCCCTGATTGGGGAACTAGGATCCCATGTACCGCCTAGTGAGGCCAAAAAGTAATTAAAAAAAAAAATACTGTTCTTGGGAATGACAGTAAAAATCTGGAAATCTTGATGATTGGTGCAAGTGTCAGACACATATTAGTTCCATCCAAATAAAAGACTTTATGTTCAAACCCTTTTCTTATCGTTTCTTATCATTTATTCACTTTATTTTTCCAGTTTGCCAAGAAAGGAATGAATATTACAAAGGATTAGGAGGGTATTTGTCTTTCATTTATGTAATTTATGGTTCTAGTTCTTTTATGGCATTAGGATTAAAATGAGACAATTGAAACTTGATTTGACATTTTCTGGTCAAAAATAGAGCACAGCTTCAGGTTGCCTTGTTATTAACCCTGTGTAATCCTTGACGTTACAGGCTACCCTCTGCTCTATGAAAGGCTGCATGAGAGCACTCGTGGCTCAACTAAAATCTGAAAGTGAGGACTTACAGCAGGTACTTCTAAGAATTCCACATGTTTTTCTTGGATATTAGTGGCTTAATACCCTGATTTAGATTAATTTAAGCTGTGACTCAGTATTTAGCACCTCATGTTTAAATTGTGGCTACATTAACACCAGAATAGAGGAAAAGAATTTTATTGTAGACTTCCTTTTGGCTCAGTAGTAGCTTTAAGAAGAAATTTATTTATTAATAGATTTCTACTCTTACTTTTGGGCTTCCCAGGTGGTGCCTGTGGTAAAGAACCCACCTGCCAGTGCAGGAGACGTAAGAGACACGGGTTTGATCTCTGGGTCGGGAAGATCCCCTGGAGGAGGGCATGGCAGTCCATTCCAGTATTCTTGCCTGGAGAGTCCCATGGACAGAGGAGCTTGGTGGGCCACAGTCCATAGAGTTGCAAAGAATCAGACACAACTGAAACAACTTAGCATGCATGCACGCACTCTTACTTTTAACATTAAGGGCAAGAAAGCAACCAGTATAAATAATTTTATAAACAAACTATTCTAAAATTGATCCATTTGCAGGTTATTGCAAGTGTTTTGAGGAATCTGTCTTGGAGAGCAGATGTAAATAGTAAAAAGACTTTGCGTGAAGTTGGAAGTGTGAAAGCACTGATGGAATGTGCTTTGGAAGTGAAAAAGGTACCTTTGAGAACATTTGGTATTACCATATGCATTTCATCTTTGGATACTTTTTCGCTGCCCTCTCCCACCTCTGAAACTCACTAATTTCTGACCCTCTTAAGAGCTTACCAATCCCTAGACTTAGACTGCTCCAAACTTTGCAAGTATTAAGGCAGACAAGACTGTACAAGGTGACCTAGTGTAAATCAGGGTTTTTCAGACTCAGCTCTGTTGACACCTTGGACAGGTAAGTCTTTGTCTGGGGGTACTGATGTGTGCCTTGTAGGATGCTCAGCAGCATTCCTGGCCTTTGCCCACTAAACGCTGACATGCCCTCCCCTCAGTCATAATCATCAGAAGTGTCTCCAGACGGCCACGTAAGGGAAACGGGACAGAACCACCCCTAGATGATTCCTTGCTGCCCAAATCCCAATCTCCCGGAGTCCCCAGATTTTGATAGTCACCTTATAGAGGTAATCAGACCCAAAGATGAAAAATCCATCAAATAATAATTTGTTTACAAAAGGAAGTAATATCCAGGTGGGATATCTACTTTAGAAACTAAGCTGATTTTTTTTTTAATTGAAATTTGCAAAGAACTAAGCTAAGCTAGTCTTTTTAGCTAATCTGAGCTTCCTTTCACCCAACCAGCCCTCCTTGACCCAGAGCCTACATTTTTCTCTTCAGAATTTCCTTTTCAGTCTGGGGCTTTTTTTAAAATTTATGTATATTTTCCTAAATTACATCGTTTTATACCTGGAAACTCCCAAGAAAATCAACTGGAAAATTATTAGAAGTAAGAAAAATATTCAGTTAAGTAACTGGCTATAAAGATAATGTTCAAAGGTGGTCAGGAGGTACAAACTTCCAGTTATAAGATAAATACATACTAGAATGTAATATACAATATGATTAATGTTATTAATGCTACCGTATCATTATATATGAAAATTCTTAAGAGAGTAAGTCCTGAGTGCTCATCACAAGGAAAAAGTTTTCTATTTCTTTCATTTTTGTGTATGTATATATACATATATATATATATATATATGAGATAATAGATGTTCACTGAACTCACTGTGGTAATCATTTCATGATGTATGTAAGTTAAATCATTATGCTGTATACCTTAAATAGTGTTACATGTCAGTTATGTCTCAAAACTGGGAGAAAACAATACTGTTCAAATATAGTCAGGATTTGCATAAAGGTACCTTTAGAACACTACTGAATCAGCAGAACACTTGTACTTACACTCTAGAAAAAAAGATTATGAATGGTGGCCAGTAAGCACTTGAAGATATACTCAACATCATTAGTCATCAGGGAAATACAAATTACAACTATGAGATACCATTACACATATTATATTGGTTAAATTTTTAAAAATTGACCATGTGTTGTCAAAGATGTTAAACAGCTGAAATTCTTATGCACTGCTGGCAGAAAAGTTAAATGGTTAAAAAAAAAAGTTAAATACAAGCATACTTCACTTTATTGCAGTTTGCAGATACTGTATTTTTGGTAAATTGAAAGTCTGTGGCAACCCTGCACTAAGCAAGTCTTTTAGTGCCATTTTCCCAACAGCATTATTTTTCGGTTAAGGTATGTACATCTTTATACATAATGCTGTTGGACAGTTAATACATTACAGTATAATGTAAATGTAACTTTATATGCAGTGAGAAACCAAAAAAATGGTATGACTTGCTTTATTGCAATATTTGCTTTATTGGAGTGGTCTGGAACCATGCAATATCTCTGAGGTCTCTCTGTCCGACTTGAGAGAACTTTTGGCAGTGTTTTAAAATTAACATTTACCTGCCATACAGCCTGGCCACCCATGAGGAACAAAAATTTACACAAAGACACACAAATATTCACATAAAGATTATTTGTGATGGCCAAAACCTAGGAAAAAAATTCTAATGTAGTAGGTAAATGGATACATAAATTGTGGAATACTATTTGGCTATATAAAAAAAAGAATGAACTATTGATACCTGCAATAATCTGTTATGTCAGAAATCAGAACAGTAGTTGCCTGGGGTTGGGGGTGGATTATAAGGGGCATGAGGAAATTGGAGGAGGATCAAAGTACAGTTTATTGGTTGCTGTAATACCTTACTAAAATTATACAAAAAATTAGTGCCATGTACACTTTAAGACTCCTTTCTAGTCAACCTTGTGTATTTTCAGAAGGACGTTTCTGTAAACATCATGTGCGTGTGTTACTGGAGCTCGCACTGCAGCTGAACAGTGCACTGTGGTATCACTCATGGGCCTCAGCGGTCCACAGACAAACCGAGAAAGGCAGAGGGACAGACAGCCCACTGAAAGTGCGAAGATTCTAATGATGTCAAGACGTAGCCTGTTTCGTAAACGAAGAGTAGATCATTTCTCTCTCATAGATGAGAGAGAATCATTAAAGATCATTTCTCCCTGAATTCATCTATGAATTTTTAATGTAAGCCCACACCAAGGAAACCAGAATGGAAAGAGACACGTGTACCNTAGTTCAATCCCTGGGTCAGGAAAATCCTCTGGAGAAGGAAATGGCAACCCACTTCAGTACTGTCGCCTGGAAAATCCTGTGGATGGAGGAGCCTGAGAGTGTACAATCCATGGGATTGCAAAGAGTCGGACACGACTGAGCAACTAAACAAAACTAATTAAAAAAAAAATTTTTTTTTTTAATGGAAGCCCAATGTTGAAAAAACTAGCCCATCAGAAAGTTATAATACCCAGTTCTAATTTGGTCTTGCTCTGGTTAATAGTATTAGATTTTATTTTTTCCATCTTTTTCTACATTCAGTGCAATAGCCAATATGAACATTCTTTCTCTTTTTAACTTGTCATCTTTTCATTCCCAACTTTATTTACCCCTCACAACCACAAGAACCAAAATTACTTCCATATTCCCCATGTACTGCATCCTTTTCACCTCATTCACTGGCCCTTCCTCTTCCACACAACAGTCTTTCCTTCACCCGCACCCTGTGCTCTGGGCATTGCTATTTACTCAAAACTGTTCGTCCATTACTCTTGGCCTACATACTTTCTCTACTGGTTGTAGAGAAGGAGGCTTTTTTAATGTTTCACTTATCTGTAAGAAGCCCAGTGTTTTGAAAATAAAAACAAAAATGTTCATTTTCATTGCTTCTTCCAACTTCCTTCAGAGAGTCTCCTGTAACAGCCAAAGCCCTGAACAAGTAGTCTAGCAGTCATTTCCTTCATTTCTTAACCGGCCATATCTTCCTCAGTCCTTTCTAAATTTGCTGCTAACAGAAATCTAGATTTATAGCCTAACTAGGGTATCACTTTTCTACCTGTACCTGTATTTGATACCTTTTGATCACGTACCTTACTGAATCTCCTCCCTTTGTTTTTACCACCTATACTTCCAACATCTAATCATTTCATCTTGTCTCCTCTAACTATAAAGCTCCTTTGAAACAAAACCCTTGGCCCCTACATGTAGTCCCAAAGAGAGCAACTTCTGTTTTCCTACCTTCAACTCTCTATCTCTAGGTCAGGTGTAAGTTTAGCTCACTCCTCTAAACTGTTCCCGTTTTTTCTGATCTCAAGATACTTTGTCCCAGTTCCTCAATCACATTGTAATTAAAATTGAGCTATTGTCCTTTTCACATCTTCAGTGGTGAAAGCATTTCTTCTCTGCCTCATGGTAAATAGTATCTATTTTATTCATTTAATATCCTGAAGAAGAGAATACAATGGCTCTTGATTGGGTTGAGCCCAAAATGTTTGCCATGACATTCAGGGCCATCTTTTCCCTGTCTGACCTTACTTCCTATGCTGTCCCAACGTGGATTTGACTTCTGTGTCTTCTTTCTGTTACTTACTTTTCCCTTGCTTATTCCCACTTCCATGCCTTTACTCATTCTACTTCCCCTGCCTCCTCTGAATGTACATGTCTTTTTATCTGCAGAGCTGCTCTCCCCCAGAATTATTTCATTTATTTGACTTAAGTTTCCATGGCAGTAATCTTTTCCTTAGAGCCCTTGGTTTTAAGTATAGTGTTACTTTTCTCCCCCAGAGTAAACAGTACCTTCAAAGCAAGTGTCAGTTGCTCTGTTTGCATCCTCTAGAGTCCCTGTAACTGTGACAGGCACAGAGTAGGTTTCTAATGAATGTTCGTCTGTTCCCTGATTGATTTTTAGTAAGAAGAGTGATGTCAGGAGCATGGCAAGTTTTAACCAAACATCCTTAATTGTATACTCAAAGTGTCTTCTCTGGCAGTTATAAATTGACAGTTTACTATGATACTGTACATCAGGGAGTTCTCATTTTTATAATGACTTTGTTTCTTTGAGGATTTTAAGAAGTTGGAGTATTTCCAGTATTCTTCCATTTTAATAAATTGTTACTTTTGCATCAACCACACATAAATATGGATGTGTGTTTTTATACAAACAATATTGTACATACTTCTCTGCAGCTTGCTCTTTTCATTTAATGATAGGTCTGGATATCTTTTCAAATCAGCATATAGAGGGTTTTTTCTAGTTTATAGTATCCTGAAAATGTTATCTTTTCAGAATGCACATCAGTTGTTTCATTTTCTAATATAAACTTCCGTGAGATAAGTGTGCACCATCTAAACATTTCACGTTCATTGTTTAGATGAATGTGATGGTCATTGTTTTAATATTGTGTTCTGCTTGTTTCATAGGGATATCACTGTCTTAAGTTCTGTTTGGTATTTTATGAAAGTTTTTTTAAGTGAGGCGTTCCTAATGCTTTACCAGGGGATGTTTAAAAAAAAGAGAGAGCTTTCTCTATAGAAATAAGCATAGAAGTTCTAAGAGTTATAGTTACAGCTGTTAACTAGATGACATATATTCTGTTTCTTGATAGGAGTCAACCCTCAAAAGTGTACTGAGTGCCTTATGGAATCTGTCAGCACACTGCACTGAGAATAAAGCTGACATATGTGCTGTAGGTGGTGCGCTTGCATTTTTGGTTGGCACTCTCACTTATCGCAGCCAAACAAATACTTTAGCCATTATTGAAAGTGGAGGTGGGATATTACGGAATGTATCCAGCTTGATAGCTACAAATGAGGACCACAGGTAAATACAGAGTTTTATGTTACTTTTAAATGAATTTGTAAGATTCATCTTCAGAAAGACTTAACTGAGCAGTGTTTTGTGTAATTATGCAAGTTCTGAGCCAAATTACATTTATGACAATGAAACTATAACTATTAATACCTGATTTATTCATTAACATTTATGCTAATAAAAGTTCATAGTATCACAAAGATGTCTAAAAATAAACCAGTGATACTTGAGAGATATAACCCATGTGTAGAATAAAAAATGAAAGCCATAAATATTACAGAGAACAAAATCCTTTCCTATATGTAGTGTGGATCAAGGAAATATGAGGTTATAAAAAAAACTTGTGGTTATGATCCAGAAAGTACAATGATTCACATTTTTCTTGTGGAGCCATAATATCAGTAATCAAAATGTTTTTCAGCCAGCAGCCGTTCATCCAGTTTATTATAACTGTGAAACCTAACAGAGCACCTCACATGCAAGGCATACATTTTCAGAACTTGAGCTTTGCCTTATCTCAGCAAAAATATAGTATCTTTCACAGTGTATTTATTTATTTTATCCTGTATTGTTCTTCTCTTGTTTAAAAAAAAAAGAAAAGACTATGGGGTACTTGTAGTAAAAGGGCTTTGTAAACAGTGTAAACATCTTTTCTGTAAGTTTCTGATGCACAAACTACAAGCCTTTACAGCTCTTTCCTCTTCTCATGGAAGAACTCTTAAACTTAGTAAGCACTCAGGTGTCTGCTGGACTGCAGAGAGAGAGCTGCCATGCTAAAGCTTATTGTACCTTTTTGCCTATCAGTTTTAAAGCCCACTAGAGCTGACTATGCTCTCATTAAACTTCATTCTACCATGCATTAAATAAGCCATAGCTCTTCAGATCCTAACATTCATTATGCTGACTCTCAACTGTTGTTTTTAAATGTTTTGAAAACTTCCACTTTATTTTTAGAAAAACTACACACACCATTTGCCCAAAAGCACTTACAGTATTGGGAATATCAGTATTACAAATTCAAACCAGAGAGAGATGATCTAAAAGTCATTTTGCTGACCTGAGCTCACAGTGTGCTCCCTGACTTTGTAAAGACCTATCAATTAATTCTTCTCTCTACCTCTTCTGAAATGTCTCTGTTGTCAGCATTGTGGAACCCACCCAGATGTTAAATTACCAGAGTCCCTGTTCAGCTAAGATTTCATAATATATTTATACTCAGTAAACTGAGAAACTCTGTCACTATGTAAAGTAAATATATATTTACTTCAAAAAGTTTTAAAGCTGTTAGGTCAGAATAGGAAATGCAGAATTGATGAAACTGAACATTTTTACCTTTTAGTCTTTGACAGATGAGTACTATAAAACAATAAACATTAAATGAACTAAGGTAAAACAAAAGGAGATGGGCAGTGCTTGAAATTTATAACATAATTTGGTGTAGTTTTATTATGCCTGTTGTTACAAGTTTTAGCAGTTATCTTTAGACTTAAATTTGTTCTCTTTCCTTTTATTTGTCACTGCAAACAGATTTTTACCTTACTTTTGTAATATCTTATTTTTATTTCAGGCAAATCCTAAGAGAGAATAATTGCTTACAGACCTTATTACAACACTTGAAATCTCACAGTTTGACAATAGTTAGTAATGCATGCGGAACCTTGTGGAATCTCTCAGCAAGAAACCCTAAAGACCAGGAAGCATTGTGGGACATGGGAGCAGTCAGCATGCTCAAGAACCTCATTCATTCAAAGCACAAGATGATTGCTATGGGAAGTGCTGCAGCTCTAAGGAATCTCATGGCAAATAGACCTGCAAAGTATAAAGATGCCAATATCATGTCTCCTGGTTCAAGTCTGCCTTCTCTTCATGTCAGGAAACAAAAGGCCCTGGAAGCAGAATTAGATGCTCAGCATTTATCAGAAACTTTTGACAATATTGACAATTTAAGTCCCAAGGCATCTCATCGTAGCAAGCAGAGACACAAGCAAAATCTCTATGGTGACTATGTTTTTGACAGCAATCGACATGATGATAACAGGTCAGACAGTTTTAATACTGGAAACATGACTGTCCTGTCACCGTATTTAAATACTACAGTATTGCCCAGCTCTTCTTCATCAAGGGGAAGTTTAGATAGCTCTCGTTCTGAAAAAGATAGAAGTTTGGAGAGAGAACGAGGTATTAGCCTAGGCAGCTACCACCCAGCAACAGAAAATCCAGGAACCTCTTCAAAGCGAGGTTTGCAAATTTCTACCACTGCAGCCCAGATTGCCAAAGTCATGGAAGAAGTATCAGCCATTCATACCTCCCAGGAAGACAGAAGTTCTGGGTCTACCACAGAACTACACTGTGGGACAGATGAGAGGAATGCACTAAGAAGAAGCTCTACCGCCCACACACATGCCAACACTTACAACTTTACCAAGTCAGAAAACTCAAACAGAACATGTCCAATACCATATGCCAAAGTAGAATATAAGAGGTCTTCAAATGATAGTTTAAATAGTGTCAGCAGTAGTGATGGTTATGGTAAAAGGGGTCAGATGAAACCTTCAGTTGAATCCTATTCTGAAGATGATGAAAGTAAATTCTGCAGCTATGGTCAGTATCCAGCTGACCTAGCCCATAAAATACATAGTGCAAATCATATGGATGATAATGATGGAGAACTAGATACACCAATAAATTATAGTCTTAAATATTCTGATGAACAGTTGAACTCTGGGAGGCAGAGCCCTTCACAGAATGAAAGATGGGCAAGACCCAAACATATACTAGAAGATGAAATAAAACCGAATGAGCAGAGACAATCAAGGAGTCAAAGCACAGCTTATCCTGTATATCCTGAGAGCACTGATGATAAACATCTCAAGTTCCAACCACACTTTGGGCAGCAAGAATGTGTTTCCCCATACAGGTCAAGAGCAGCCAATGGATCTGAAACAAATCGAGTAGGCTCTAATCATGGAATTAGTCAAAATGTGAACCAGTCTTTGTGTCAAGAAGATGACTATGAAGATGATAAACCAACCAACTACAGTGAACGTTACTCTGAGGAAGGGCAGCATGAGGAAGAAGAGAGACCAACCAATTATAGCATAAAATACAGTGAAGAAAAACATCACGTGGATCAGCCCATTGATTATAGTTTAAAATACACCACAGACATTCCTTCTTCACAGAAACCGGCATTTTCATTCTCAAAGAATTCATCTGGACAGAGCACAAAAACTGAACACATCTCTTCAAGCAGTGAGAATACTCCCACACCTTCATCTAATGCCAAAAGGCAGAATCAGCTACATCCAAGCTCAGCACAAAGCAGAAGTAGTCAGACCCCAAAAGCCACCTCTTCCTCTTGCAAAGTTCCCTCTATCAACCAAGAAACAATACAGACTTACTGTGTAGAAGATACCCCAATATGTTTTTCGAGATGCAGTTCATTATCATCTTTGTCATCTGCTGAAGATGAAATAGGGTGTGACCAGACCACACAGGAAGCAGATCCCGCTAACTCTCTGCAAATAGCCGAAATCAAGGACAACAGCGGACCTAGGCCAAATGAAGATTCTGTGAGTAAAGTTCCAGCAGTGTCACAGCACGTTAGAACCAAATCCAGCAGACTCCAGGCTTCTGGTCTGTCTTCAGAGTCAGCCAGGCACAAAGCTGTTGAATTTTCTTCAGGGGCCAAATCTCCTTCCAAGAGTGGTGCTCAGACACCCAAAAGTCCACCAGAGCACTACGTTCAGGAGACCCCACTCATGTTTAGCAGATGTACTTCAGTCAGTTCACTCGATAGTTTTGAGAGTCGCTCAATTGCCAGCTCCGTTCAGAGTGAACCCTGCAGTGGAATGGTGAGTGGCATTATAAGCCCCAGTGACCTCCCAGATAGCCCTGGACAAACCATGCCACCAAGCAGAAGTAAAACCCCTCCTCCTCCTCCTCCTCCTCCTCCTCCTCCTCAGACAGTTCAAACGAAGCAAGAAGTACCTAAAAATAAAGCACCTAGTGCTGAAAAGAGAGAAAGTGGACCTAAGCAAGCTGCCGTAAATGCTGCAGTACAGAGGGTCCAGGTTCTTCCAGATGCTGATACTTTGTTACATTTTGCCACAGAGAGTACTCCTGATGGATTTTCTTGTTCATCTAGCCTGAGTGCTCTGAGCCTTGATGAGCCATTTATTCAGAAAGATGTGGAACTAAGAATAATGCCTCCAGTTCAGGAAAATGACAACGGGAATGAAACAGAAAGTGAGCAGCCTGAAGAATCAAATGAAAACCAGGAAAAAGAGGCAGAAAAACCCACTGACTCTGAAAAAGATCTTTTAGATGAGTCAGATGATGATGATATTGAAATACTAGAAGAGTGTATAATTTCTGCCATGCCAACAAAATCTTCACGCAAAGCCAAAAAACCAACCCAGACTACTTCGAAATTACCTCCACCTGTGGCAAGGAAACCAAGTCAGCTGCCTGTATACAAACTTCTGCCATCACAAAACAGGTTACAGGTACAAAAGCATGTTAGTTTTACACCAGGAGATGATATGCCACGGGTGTATTGTGTAGAAGGGACACCTATAAACTTTTCCACAGCTACATCTCTGAGTGATCTAACGATAGAATCCCCTCCAAATGAGTTAGCTGCTGGAGAAGGGGTTAGAGCAGGGGCACAATCAAGTGAATTTGAAAAACGAGATACCATTCCTACTGAAGGCAGAAGTACAGATGAGGCTCAAAGAGGGAAAGCCTCATCTGTCACTGTCCCTGAACTAGATGACAATAAAACAGAAGAAGGTGATATTCTTGCAGAATGCATCAATTCTGCTATGCCCAAAGGAAAAAGTCACAAGCCTTTCCGTGTGAAAAAGATTATGGACCAGGTCCAACAAGCATCTATGTCTTCATCTGGAACTAACAAAAATCAATTAGATGGTAAGACAAAGAAACCTACTTCACCAGTAAAACCTATACCACAAAATACTGAATACAGGACACGTGTAAGAAAAAATACAGACTCAAAAAATAATTTAAATGCCGAAAGAAATTTCTCGGAAAACAAAGATTCAAAGAAACAGCACTTGAAAAATAATTCCAAGGACTTCAATGATAAACTGCCAAATAATGAAGTCAGAGGAAGTTTTACTTTTGATTCACCTCATCATTACACACCCATTGAAGGCACTCCATACTGTTTTTCACGAAATGACTCTTTGAGTTCTCTAGATTTTGATGATGATGATGTTGACCTTTCCAGAGAAAAGGCTGAATTAAGAAAGGGGAAGGAAAATAAAGAATCAGAAGCTAAAGTGACCAACCACACTGAACTAACCTCAAACCAACAATCAGCTAATAAGACACCAGCTGTTACAAAGCAGCCAATAAATAGAGGTCAGTCTAAATCCGTGCTGCAGAAGCAGTCCACTTTTCCCCAGTCCTCCAAAGATATACCAGACAGAGGGGCAGCAACAGATGAGAAATTACAGAATTTTGCTATTGAAAACACTCCAGTTTGCTTTTCTCGAAATTCCTCTCTAAGCTCTCTTAGTGACATTGATCAAGAAAACAACAACAACAAGGAAAATGAACCTATCAAAGAGACAGAGCCCCCTGACTCACAGGGAGAAGCAAGTAAACCACAGGCATCAGGTTATGCTCCTAAGTCATTTCACGTTGAAGATACCCCTGTCTGTTTCTCAAGAAACAGTTCTCTCAGTTCTCTTAGTATTGATTCTGAAGATGACCTGCTGCAGGAATGCATAAGTTCTGCAATGCCAAAAAAGAAAAAGCCTTCAAGGCTCAAGGCTGATAATGAAAAGCATAGTCCCAGAAATATGGGTGGCATATTAGCAGAAGATTTGACACTCGATTTGAAAGATATACAGAGACCAGATTCAGAACATGGTTTATCCCCAGATTCAGAAAATTTTGATTGGAAAGCTATTCAGGAAGGTGCAAATTCCATAGTAAGTAGTTTACATCAAGCTGCTGCTGCCGCATGTTTATCTCGACAAGCTTCCTCTGATTCAGATTCCATCCTTTCACTGAAATCGGGCATCTCTCTGGGATCACCATTTCATCTTACACCTGATCAAGAAGAAAAACCCTTTACGAGTAATAAAGGCCCACGAATTCTAAAACCTGGGGAGAAAAGTACATTGGAAACTAAAAAAATAGAATCTGAAAGTAAAGGAATAAAAGGAGGCAAAAAGGTTTATAAAAGTTTGATTACTGGGAAAGTTCGGTCTAATTCAGAAATTTCGAGCCAAATGAAACAACCCCTTCAAACAAACATGCCTGCAATCTCTCGAGGTAGAACAATGATTCATATTCCAGGAGTTCGGAATAGCTCTTCAAGTACAAGCCCAGTTTCTAAAAAAGGCCCACCCCTCAAGACTCCAGCCTCCAAAAGCCCTAGTGAAGGTCAGGCGGCTACCACCTCTCCCAGAGGAACCAAGCCATCAGTGAAGTCAGAATTAAGCCCTGTTACAAGGCAGGCATCCCAGACAGCAGCATCAAACAAAGGACCTTCTAGATCAGGATCTAGAGATTCCACTCCTTCAAGACCTGCCCAGCAACCATTAAGTAGACCAATGCAGTCTCCAGGGCGAAACTCAATCTCTCCTGGTAGAAATGGAATAAGTCCCCCTAACAAATTATCTCAACTACCAAGGACGTCATCCCCTAGTACTGCTTCAACTAAGTCCTCAGGTTCTGGGAAAATGTCTTACACATCTCCTGGAAGACAGATGAGCCAGCAGAACCTCACCAAACAAACGGGTTTATCCAAGAATGGCAGTGGTATCCCAAGAAGTGAATCTGCCTCCAAAGGGCTAAATCAAATGAGTAACAGTAATGGATCCAATAAAAAAGTGGAACTTTCTAGAATGTCTTCAACAAAGTCAAGTGGAAGTGAATCTGATAGGTCAGAGAGACCTGTATTAGTACGCCAATCAACTTTCATCAAAGAAGCTCCAAGCCCAACCCTAAGGAGAAAACTGGAGGAATCTGCTTCATTTGAATCTCTTTCTCCATCTTCTAGACCCGATTCTCCAACACGGTCCCAGGCACATACTCCAGTTTTAAGTCCTTCCCTTCCTGATATGTCTCTATCTGCACATTCGTCTGTTCAGTCTGGTGGATGGCGAAAACTCCCACCTAACCTCAGTCCCACCATAGAGTATAGTGATGGAAGACCAGGAAAGCGCCATGATATAGCACGCTCTCATTCCGAGAGTCCCTCCAGACTCCCCATCAACAGGTCAGGGACCTGGAAACGTGAGCACAGCAAACACTCATCATCACTGCCTCGAGTAAGCACTTGGAGAAGAACTGGGAGTTCATCCTCAATTCTTTCTGCTTCATCAGAATCTAGTGAAAAGGCAAAAAGTGAGGACGAAAAACATGTGAACTCTATTTCAGGAAGCAAACAAACTAAAGAAAACCAGGTACCCACAAAAGGAACATGGAGAAAAATAAAAGAAAGTGAAATTTCTCCCACAAGTAGTACTTCTCAGACCACTTCTTCAGGTGCTACAAATGGTGCTGAATCAAAGACTCTGATTTATCAAATGGCACCTGCTGTTTCTAAAACAGAGGATGTTTGGGTAAGAATTGAGGATTGCCCTATTAACAACCCTAGATCTGGAAGATCTCCAACAGGAAATACTCCCCCTGTGATTGACACTGTTTCAGAAAAGGGAAACCTGAACCCTAAAGATTCAAAAGATAATCAGGGAAAACAAAATGTGAGCAATGGTAGTGCCCCCACACGCACCATGGGTCTGGAAAACCGCCTGAATTCCTTTATTCAGGTAGATCCCCCAGACCAAAAAGGAACTGAGGCAAAGCCGGGACAAAGTAATAACCCTGTCCCTGCATCCGAGACTAATGAAAGTTCTATAGCTGAGCGTACCCCATTTAGTTCTAGCAGCTCAAGCAAGCACAGTTCACCAAGTGGGACTGTCGCTGCCAGGGTGAGTCCTTTTAATTACAACCCAAGCCCGAGGAAAAGCAGCGCAGATGGCACTTCAGCCCGACCGTCTCAGATCCCAACGCCAGTGAGTAACACCACAAAGAAACGCGACTCAAAGCCCGACAGCACGGAGCCCAGCGGGACTCAAAGTCCTAAACGCCACTCCGGGTCTTACCTTGTGACGTCTGTGTGAGAAGAGCTGGAAGGAGGGAAGTAAGAATGTGACATGTGGTGATTACAACTGCTATGTAGAAATTTTGTTTCAAGTGAAACTGTAAAAGACTGAGAAATTTTGTACATAGGTTTGATTCTTGTTAGAGGGTTTTTGTTCTGGAAGCCATATTTGATAGTATACTTTGTCTTCACTGGTCATATTTTGGGAGGCACTCTTGATAGTTAGGAAGAAAACGGTAAAGCCAAGTATATTTGTACAGTATGTTTTTCATGTATTTAAGTAGCGTCCCATCCCAGCATCCTTTAATTATTGCTTGTCTTAAAATAACACTACAGATAGAAGATATGATATATTGCTGTTATCAATCATTTCTAGATAATAAACTGACTAAACTTACATCAGGGAGAAATTGGTATTTATGCAAAAAACCATTCTGTTTTAGTCCTTGAGAGTCCCATCTAACATCATAATTAATCATGTGGCTGTGAAATTCACAGTAATATGGTTCCCGATGAACAAGTTTATCCAGCCTGCTTTGCTTTACTGCATGAATGAAACTGATGGTTCAATTTCAGAAGTAATGATTAACAGTTCTGTGGTCACATGATGTGCATATAGATAGCTATAGTGTAACAACTTACACTATTTTGTGCGCAAAACAAAAAAATCTGTGTAACTGTCAAACATTGAATGAAACTATTTTACCTGAACATCTGAAAGTAGGTAGAATCTTTGCTATGCTGTAACTTGTTGTATATTCTGGTATTTGAGGTGAGATGGCTGCTCTTTTATTATTGAGACATGAATCGTGTCTCAACAGAAACTAAATGAACATTTCAGAATAAATTATTGCTGTATGTAAACTGTTACTGAAATTGGTATTTGTTTGAAGGGTCTTATTTCACATTTGTATTAATAATTGTCAAAAAGGGCCTCTTTTAAAAGCTTATATAAATTTTTTCTTCAAATTCTATGCATTAAGAGTAAAATTTCTCTTACTGTAATAAAAACAATTGAAGCTGATTGTTGGCATTTAACCATTCCATGCATTGGCACTTAACCTTTCCTGAAAGTTTTTTTAATGTGTGATTAGCACTTCCTGTTTAGTATTTTTCTATTCACTTTTTTTTTCTTACTCCACTGGAGTTGATTTTTTAAATTCATATAATAGCAATGTGAACGGCCTTGTATATGGGCATTGAACACAACAGGCCCGCAAAGAACATTTCTTTTTTCTTAATAGAATTCTGTCCTTGAAAAATTAATTATTCTGAGGTAGAAGGAGTCTCTTCCAAGCCCATCTTTGAATGCCTGTCTTGTCCCTCCTGTTGCTCCTGGGTCTGGGAATGAACACCTGTCATCACCTTTTGTGTTACAGCAAAATTTCAGCAGCCAAATATAATCAGCACCTTGCCATGTTCAGAAAATGCTAAGATATTCAAGAGACTCTTAAGAAACCATTGCCTGTTAACGAAAACTTTGTTTTTGATGAGTAGGGTTGTGGGGTATGTGTTCAAATGCCCCCTTCCTCACACAGCAAGGAGAGGATCCTCCTTCATGAAGGAAGATAGACTGATAAGATTTATTTAAAAAGCTAATATATCTTTCCAGAATTTGTTCTAAATGATCAGAGAGTAAGGATGATGATAAATGTTCACGTATTTGTTGAATAAATGAAATTTTATTTTTTAATGATAAATTTATGCACTCTGCATTTGGGGAAGGGAAAAGATATTTAGATATGGCAGGACACTGGGGAAAGGTGGTGAGGAGTAAGCATGTCTACCTGCTGTCTTTGAAATCACATCATAGAGTGAGTTATCTACTGCTTACCTGTGTATATTAGGTAAGGACTTTTTTTTTTAAGTCATTTCCTAAAATGCCAGTAAATAAGTGCTGTGATTTGAAGAAAGGCATGTGACTCCAAAGCCCATACTCTTTCTACTGCTTATCTTTGGAATATACCTACATTTAAACTTTCGTCAAGTTTTATCTGAGTGAAATCATTTGTAAGTCATAGGACTATTCTGTTTTTCTCAAAGGATGCCTTATCCAACAGGGATATATGAATAGAGGTCATATTTCTTTCCTGTTTAGTCCTGATTTTCTTTTTTTTTTTTTTTAGTTACTACTGCATGCCCATTTTTATAAACCACTTCAAATATTTTATAGGAAAAAACATGGGATATAAGTCAACTAGAATAAAATTACCTTTCTCAAGGAAGGAAAAAGGAAAAAACAAAACACCTCAGTGCTGAAAATGAAAAAAGGATGCCCTCCATATCCCAGAATACTCAGGAATTAAGTAAGCAGCACCTACTGGGAGAAGGTACAGTATACATTGCCCATTGAGGAAAAAGTTCTGTATGAGACCCTCTAGTTAGAGACAACGGCTCTGAATTAGTAAAGGACAAAATCTCAGTTCTAATTTTAGAAGTTCAGGGAGTGCTCCCATAACTGATAACCACCCAAATGGTCCCCAGTTTACGCCTGTGTTACAAATGGCACCCCGAGGCAGTGGTTTCCAAACTTGAGTGCATGCAAATCACCAAAAATGTTTGTTAGAACACATCCCCATCCTTCCTGACTCTGAGTCAGGCCTGGGAACCAGCAGGCGATGCCGATGCTGCTGGTCTGGGACCACTCAGAGTTACTGCCGTGCGCAACTGCAGCAAAGCTGCTCGAGGGGTTGCCTTCCGTTCCAGCTGTTCTTCTCAACACTGGACTCAGCATCTGAGAAAGTACACCAAACTGCCCTCCCCTTTAGGCATGAAAAGATAGGAATATTGAGTTACAATCTGATACAGCCCATCTCAACTCCCAGTAGTCCACAAGTTTACCAGACATGAATGAACAGGTAATTCTATATCTGAGGTATTGACTCATGTTCCCTTTGGAACAGTTATCAAAAAGGCAAAATTTCAGCAAATATCTAATTTGGATTTGCAGTAATATCAAAAGAGACACCAAGAACAGGGCAAAGAAGAGAACTTTGAAGAGAGAGCAAATGGACTTCAGATGAAAGAAAAATGTGCCCAGTTAGTATACAGACAACAACCAATTAACTATGGCAAATTCATATTTGAGAATAAACTTGCACTGACAGGAAAGTTAATGAGAAGGAAATAATGAAATAAAAGATAAGCCCCAAAGAATCCAACTGCATTCTAAGAAGAGTCAAAAAACTTTTTTCCCCATAAACCATGGATTGTTCCCACAAGGTTAATGAACTAAAGGGATGAGTCTTGCTGAAGATGGAAGCGAGTTGCACTATATCTGAATTCATGTTTTCACAGAGTTTCCTTGTATCTAAAATAGAAAAAGAACTGAGTGCCAGAAATGCAAAAAGAAAATTGCTAAGAGCTGAAGAATACTTGAGTAGTCAGATCATTCACAGTTAACCAAACAAAAATAATTTTTCAAGAGTCACAAGGGTCGAAATAGAGTATATAAATTATATTTTAGTTTCTATTAATGCTGACTTTCAAATACTACTTCATAGTGTTGAAACCTATGGACTTTGACACCTACAAACTCCAGGTCTTTTTTCTGCTCTTCTCCTCTCTTCTGTGGTCTTTAAAACTATATTCTGGTTTTTGTTAGACCATTGATCCTTCTTTCAACCTGTATGTTTTCTGTGTGTATAATATTCTCGGTGCTAAATACACTTCTGATATTCAGGATAACTCTCTACAATTGTGACTATTTGCTTATTTTCTTGACATTATAAGACTGTTCCTTTTAAAATTAAAAATACTTAACATTGTGCTAGTGAAGGTGACCACTGAATATAAAGCAACATTAGTGAATGTTGCAAAAATTAGCTATTGTTAACAGCTATTGTTGCAGACATGACCTGTCCCACCTGCACAACCTTTTGGAATCCTGACATACAGTCTCACTGTTTATCACTGAAGCTTGTACTCATTGTTCCACCTGACCATGGCTGTGTCCACCAGCGGGGGATACCTGACCCAGAGGAGACTCATCATTAACTGACTAGTTACCAAAGACTTGTATGGCTTGTCTTTAAAAAAAAAAAAATTAGGCCAATTTTAAATAAAGAATCACAAAATTTCTGGTTGGAGATTGAGTGCTAGATTTGAAAGATCTTGTAGAGTTAAGACTGAAGGTACTCTGGCATCAAGAAGCTAAAATAAGAGAAAGTCGGTCGCTAGATACAGAAGGAACAGATACGAGAGGGAGGCACACAGCAAGTGTGAGACATACAAGAAAGGCTAGCTCCTGGCATTACCACAGTTCTTGCTGATTCTGGGGCTAGTTCGACTTTTCCTTGTGTTAAAACATTTGTGACCTTTCAAACCCACTTTGTTTCTGAAGTAACTTGAAACAAAACTATTTAAACACAGTTTAGTGAGGTGTTTTTTTTAATATAAAGAGAGCTTTCTGAAATCATCTGTCGGGAAAGGGGGATAGGCTGCCTACAGAGAAAAAAAAAACGGACTGGCATCAGATTTCTTCTCTGAAATACTGAATGCCAAAAAAAAAAAAAGGGCCTTTTGGAAGCAAATGGAAATATTACCTAAGAATTCTGAAACCTGCCAAACTAGCACTTAACTTACCTGAAACACACATCATTCGAGATTCTTGTTACAGTTGTTAACAATAAGATTTTCTCTAAAAGAGGAGACACTCATTTAAGAAATCAGGTAGCTCACAGGAGCTATATGAGGGCCAGAAAATCAGGCTTGGAAACCACTACAGAAACAATACCCAAACCATACTGTGAGACTGCTTCAAAAAGACCCAGTTGTTACCTGTCAACTCTGGAGCCCTCTGACACCACCCTCCCTGTAAGTTAAGAATAGTTTCAGCACTTGCCTCGTCACACCGCTCAATCCTGGACTGGAGTCTTGCTGAATGGACACTGTTGGCAGAAGCTGCGTCATATGCCCGTGGAGCCTGGGAAAGCTCAGTGGTTCGGGTTCTCCACTGAGGAAGCGGGACACCTAGGACATGAATTCTCCAAACCTACAAAGGGCGTCTCAAATGCACCACTGGGAAACTACAATCCATGACACACCTCCTACCATAGTACTGCTGCCTGAGCAATTAAATGAGAAAGTATTAAGGAGACAGTTTGAGCAATAAAACCTTTGAACTGAATAAATGTGTAAGTAATTGTGGTTAATCTGATAATGAATCTCAATGTGAATGTGCATGTAACTCAGAACTGAAAAGATGAAATGCTTAATAATTTTAAATTCCACATTCCACCCCAAACTGGGAAATGAGGGAGAGAAGACATAAAAGCATGCTAAATTTCTACTCTTTTAAACAGGCAGTGTCAAAAGATACTATTTTACTTTTAACTTGGAAAAATGCAAGTTCAATTTTTCTATTTAGTCCTAACACCAATGTTAAAAAGAAAGCTTTCCATCCAAATCATTAGTGAAAATAACTATGAATACAAGAACACTTGAACAGGATATCAAAGAATAGGGAAAAGGGGAGAGGGAGAATTAGCCACAATAAAGCATAAAGTGACAGTAATATCAAATAATGAGTGGATTAAGCACATATGGTAAAGTTGGAGTAAAAAAAAAAAAACCTTTACCTATATGCCATTAGTAAAAGAGACACCTAAAATGATCCAGCCTGGAGAAAACTAAAAGCACAGCTACACACAGGCAAATGCAAAGAAAGCAGTATAGGTAAATTTATGTCAAAGTATAATTCTGGATGAAAAGCATCAAACAATGAAAAGAAGATGAAAGACGGTTATGACTTTCTTTGAACATCAAATGATAAAGCATCAGGTGTATGAAACAAAATTACAAACACAAAAGAGATTGACAAAAACTGTGGAACCAGTGACAGGGTCAGTGTTTGACAGATGACTTGGTCTACACACAACCAAAGTAGAGTTATTACTTAAAACCACAACTTCCTTCCAGAAAGGGTGACTCTTGTTAAGATAAAATTCTTGAAAAGTCCTTTTCTTTAGCTCAGGGCCTTGATGAGTTTGGGACCTGTAAAGCCAAGCCTGAAGTTTAGTGGGAGGAGGGTTAGAGAAAATCTCACAGGTGTGCTTAAGAGAGGCAAGAACTCAGGGTTTGGGAGTTACCCAGGAATGAGGGGTTGAGGAGCAGAGATGTGAGCACAAAAGGAGAGATACAACAGAAAAAATGGCAAGAAGTCAAGGTCCTATGAAAACCCCTGATGCAACTGGTAATGATTTTAGAAATAGAGACACACACTATATCAGTTGAAATCTAAGTTCTTTATAAAATCTGTGTTCAGTAATATTAACTTTTTTTTAATTTTCAGAATCTTTTTAACAATTGCAGTTATCTTCACCATCACTTTATATAAATTATTAAGTTATTTGAATTTACTTAGATGTAAGTGTTCACTGTTTCCTCTATATTGCGTAGTGGAAACACTTTCTTTACTATAATTTGGTTTGGCTGGAGTATGTCCTTAAATAGTGTGTGTTTGTTTTCCAGAAAAGCTAGGTTGGGAGTATACTTTCTCAATCCTTGTTTAAAATTGTCTTTCTTTTGCCCTCACACAAAGGATAATTTGAGTCACGACTTTAGTCACAATTCTTTTTCTTCAAAACTCTTCTAATGTTTACTGTGGCTAAAAAGTTCAGATATCAGGCTGAGTTCTTTTCCCCTATAGAAAACTTATTTCCTACCTGGTGTTCTTAGGGTTGTTTTTAATCCTTGAAATAAAGCAATTTTAATAGCATAAGCCCAGCTGTGTGTTTTTTTCCACAGCCCCGTCTTTTAATACCGAGTCTTTTCAATCTTGAGTCTTCAGCTCATTCAATGTTGTCACCTTACTCTTTACAAACCAACCGGATCTACCAAACACTGCTCTCCATTAGACACTAGCCACAAGCTTGGTGGTGCCTAAGTGAGAGGCACCATACTGGGTGCCATCCTGTCAGTTTTTGGTGTCCGAAAGCTGCACTCTGTCCCTACAGAAGTGGGAAGAACACCTGTCCTCCACTTTGGGATTTAGTATAACACTTCCCCTCAGAGTACCAAAGCAGTACTGCTTGTGTTCAAATGCCTTAAAGGATTTGTAGTGAGACAGTTTCACTAAAAGAAATTTTATTTAGTCTTAGTCTACCCTCCTACACCAATATGAAGATCTGAAGAATACTGAAGTGGGTTGTTATTTTCTACTCCAGGGGATCACTCTAACCGACGGATCCAACCCATCTCTTGCACTGGCAAGGAGATTCTTTACCACTGAGTTTAATTTTAGGGTAGCGATTTTGAAAAGTGTATAGTCGAGTTCCTAACATTTACACGGAACATTGAAACACAGTGCCAGTAATTTTGCTAGTTCCACTACTATAAAAATCGATTTTTGCCAACTTGAAAGCAAGCTGCGGGGCCCAGGAGCGGTTAAAGATTAAACAAACTGGGCATTTCCTTGCCTACTCTAACAACTTGCTCAGAACTCAGATAACCCGCGGTGTTGAGCCGTACTCTGAGGATGAGAGAAGCATGCACCATCCACACTCAAACTGAAAGTAGCTAAAAAAATAGGGGGGAGGGGGGGCGTGAAAGTGTAAACAAATTTTAGCGACGGCGCGAGCTTGCCAAAGGCTGGTTTCTGCAAGCTCACACAGAAAGGAAGGAGTTAGTCACGTTCCTGACGTTCCTGTACCCTCTCGCGAGAGGAAGAGATTTCAACGCCACGTCAGGAACCGGAGAGCCGAGACGAGTAGGCGTTCCGGTGGGCGGGACTTCCGCCGGAAACGGGGTAGTCTGGGAACTCTCAGAGAGGAGCTGCGGCCGGCTTTCTTACCTGCTGGCCCTCCTCGGGTGCTGTCTGGGCGTGGACGCTGTCTGGACCCGGGTGAAGATGGCTTGCGCCGCGGCGCGGTCCCCGGCCGACCAGGACAGGTGAGTCCGGAAAGAGGAAGCGCCTTGGGGCAAGCCCGCCGGCTCTGCGCCTCCTTCCCAAACCCCAAGGAAAGCTCCTCAGAGGGAGCTAGGCCCTGGCCCTGTTCTCTGGCGTCCGTACCTGCCGGAGGCCCGGCTGCACCGGGGTGTTCGCAGGACCCTAGATTCCAACTTTACGTAGCTCGCTGTTTACCTGAACTGAGACGGAGGCTGTGGGGAGGTCCGTCGGTGCCGTAAGTAGTCACCAAGGACAACGCTCTCCTTTCGCTCTTTGGAGGGTGAGAGACCAGGGCCCGCCCTCAGAGGCTTTTGACAGGCTGCTGTATGTAAATGAACAGTTCCGGTATTGGTTTCTTTTCTTTTTTAAAAAAAGCTTTGTCTAGCAAGTGATGTTTTTTTCATCTAAGGTAATAAGTTAAAGTTCGGTTTTTAAATAGAGGGGAGCATCACCAACTCGATGGACATGAGTTTGAGCAAGCTCCGGGAGTTGGTGATGGACAGGGAAGCCTGGCGTGCTGCGGTCCTTGGGGTCGCAGAGTCGGACACGACTGAGCGACTGAACTGAACTGAATAGTATAGGTGCACCGGTGATGCACCGGTGATGATGGTGAAAGAATGAATGAATTTGGGGAATATTGCTCTAATGATACCAGCTGGGCTTTTCCTGTGGCAGGTTCATTTGTATTTATCCTGCTTATTTAAATAACAAGAAGACCATCGCGGAGGGGCGGCGGATCCCCGTAAGTAAGGTAAGCATGCTTTGCCGCGAGGACCTGGGCAGGTTATCCTGTTAGGCCACAAAGA